ATGTTTCAGGTAATTTCTCCAATGGTATTTGATTAGAATTGATGCTAAGTAATTGAAGATGATGAAATTTTTTAATAGCAGTTAAAAAGTTAAAATTAGGAAATTGATTAAAACCTATGTATAATTGCTTCAATTGTCTACCTAAATAAAATAAGTTTAAACTAAATAAATCTTTATTTTCATTGTTGTCAATGAGATTAGTTAGTCCACAATTTTGAATATTTAACTGTTCTAAATTTCTATTAACATAATCACCTAAATTTAAGTTGAAACCTGTTTCGTTAGATTTTCTATTTGTTTCATGACTATCAGATGATGACAGTGTATTACCTATTGTCCTTTGTAAATTTGTTCCATCCAAACTGAATAATTTTAATGTATACAAATATTTTGCCCATGTATGAGAATTTTCTAATAATTTCCAACCATCACCAGTTTGTTGTTCTATTCTTAACTTTAAGAGTTTATTTTCTAAATTATTAAATGGAAATGCTTCATTATGTATTCTATTCAAATTATTGTTTATCATGGTTATAATTTCCAAATGTTTTATCCAACCATGAAATGCATACTGTGGTATACCAATAGACATATCAATATTTTCTAAATGAAGTGATTTTAACTTGTGTAGATTTTTTAATTCTTGAAATAAATTTCCAGATACTTTTTTCAATTCTCCACTGAAAAAATTTCTAATATAAAGTACTTCCAGATCAGATAAACCTTTGAAACATCCATGTTGAAATATGTGTAAAGATAATCCTTTCAAAATAAGTTTACGTTCAACAATTTCACGGTATGTTGCTATGTCATTAGGATTATTCTTCATAATATTCTCAAATGTACCAGATGTACATATTTCAATATCGGGACTATTTTCAATATGTATAGTACTAATTGAATAGTTATTATCGGATTGAATTATTATTGGTAATCTATTGCCAAACTGTGATGTAATATCTTCTCTACAAATAATCATTTTAGCGGTTGGATGTATTGGATCCGATTGTTCAATACATGGTTGGAAGTGTTCTGATCCACGTAAATAGTCTACAAGATGATGATCAGATTGTAATGAATTATTTTCATATAACTCGATTGCATATGTTGTCATCACAAATAATAACATACCATAAATATACAAACATAATGTTGCAAGGCAGACTAGTTGTTTTCTTTGATAAATAAACATTTTAATTCCATGTTGAATATTTACTTATGTTTATCGATCACATGATTCGTGTTAAAGAAAGTACAATTTATTTATTATGTAGATAAAATGCGGATTTTATATCAGTTGAATTATTGGTCTATCATTTTTTAAAGATATTTATGCTTTAAAATGTTCCATATTTCTATAATTAACTGATTGATATTTAATCTCCATAGTAGTCAGTTCACATTACTTCATCATGGCTTTCTATAATGATTATGAAAGTGATTCTTTCTAGGTTATATACACAATTTTATGTTAGATTCTAATTGGTCTATTGATTGTGCATGATGTTGATTTATTTTATGAAATGATTGGTTAATAATCACTGTCTTTTCTTAATTTTGACGACTACTAACTACTGTCTAGCATTAACATCTAATTTAGGGCATCAGTAATGTCTAAATACTTGTGACCAGTTATCCAATAGTATTATATATTTTCTGTTGTTTTCATTAACTATTTTAACCTATTGTAATAGTAGTAATCTACTTTTTTTGTTGTTCTGATGACTCATAAAAAGGTGTACTTTTACCTTAGCTATGATTATCGCATATATTCAGCCACTTCATAGTAGTATCTAGATTCAAAATAACTGCATTATCGAGATGCTTCGAATATATATTTTGTTTCACAACACTAATCTGTCATCTAAAACTAACACATATCGTTTAATGATTTGGGCTAATTTATTCATTTTATTTAAGCACATATACATTGGTACAAGGAGGCTTCGAATATATATATATATATATATATATATATATATATATATATATATATGCCATACAAATCATCCGATTTGTTTGTGTGTGTGAGCTAGGATACTGCCCGTGCGCTCGAGCCGAAGCAGGTGGTCTACTTATGGGGCCAATTCCCGATTCTTTAACCTAGAGGTCTAATCCATAAGGCAGTGGAGCAACGTTAGGAGACGCGGTCTCATGGTAGCCGGTGACCAGCAATAGGTTCATCCACCATTTATTCCCACAGGATCTTGGAGCCCATGTGGACCGTTTATTTGGATTTAGGGTTCTCCAACTCCCCCAGATGGATCCTCTGTATCCGCCAACTCGATTAAAGTGCCGGACATTCGCTTCTCGTCGTTTCAACTTCGTAAAGAAGACCCCCACCACGAGAAGGCAGTGAGTAGGACTTCCATGTCATTGGTTTCATATATGTGGCCATTAGAGAGCATTTCTAGAGGAGGGGCACATTCACCACCCTCGGCCGTACCAGGGCATTTATTGTTTATATAAATAAATCGGGCTAATTGAGTTCAAGTTAGATTATTATTTCCATGAATATTTGAGGTATTTCTTGTTGATTAGTACTAACTAATAGTGCTGCAGGAATTGATGATCCTTGTCATATTCAAATCTGTATCATCCAATGTTACAATCAGTGGAGTTATTTTTGCTGAAGTTGGCCTCCATAAGATTGAAATGTTTATGTTCATTAAAAATTGATTAGTAACTTACATGTCGTTATATATTGCTTGGTGCTTTCGAACGATTTCCATTCTGGCCACTTGCATAGCTTTTATTAAATTTGAATTAAGGTTATCAATGAAATCTACAACCTGGGTTTCATCCGGTATTGGACTCGTCACTTGAATATTTCTTCATACGGGTTTTGGTGGTCTCAATAATCTTTTAACTCACTATTTTACCTTATAAGCATCAACACATTATCCACTAAAGTATTAAGTTCGCATTATCATTAATTTGTCTATGATATACATTTGACAATAGACATTAATCAGTTGCATTCATAAACATTAATACCAGGAAAATCTATAAACGCTTACAAGTAAAAACTAGTATAACTTGTTTTTATAGTAAAATTGGCTAACTTTTCATGAAATAAATAGACAGAAATTAAAGAGTTTACATCATATACCTGTTTTCCATAATATACCGTTCTATATTATTTACTTCATTAAGAATTTTAGAGCTTTTTCTTCTCGTATTTCAATCTCCTCATTTATGTTGTTTTAATACATATGATAAATTTGTCAAATTGAATAATAATCTCGTCTAGCATTAGTTTAGCACTGGTTACATCACTCTACTTTCTAGAACTATTCTCATTAGTTTAACCAGTCGAATAACTTTACATTTGCTCTCATATAAAAACATTGTGATGAATTAAGGATTATTTCAATTCCTTGAATAGACTTTTATTATTATTTTAAAACTAGTAAATAATTATTGAAATGAAGTTTATACTGATGTTGAATTTCGAAATTGCTTTATTTCTTTTCAGGTGAATATCTTGATACATTTACAGTAGATCATTTTTAATTTCATTAATAGACCACGTCTGTAAGATTTCCAAGTGTCCAATTCCTTTCCTTTGATACCATTTCCCTTCTTTCTTTAATATCAATGTTGCTTTATCTAGTGGAATTAATAGTAACTTGGTTGAAAATTACATGGATATTCTTGTTATTTGATGTTTATGTTTGAAAAATCAAATAACTGACTATATATCTATATAATATTTTACGCCATGTCACCCGAATTCCTCAATCAACGGTTACAACTACTTTTTGTATCCCAACTAGGAATTTCTATGTCGTTACTAACAATTTACGTCCCACCATTACCTTTCTTCCAACTCACATCTATACCTGCTAGCATGCCACTTCGAGCTAAGCGGTATATGTACGCCCATCTTATCAGTGTTATACTGTTATTCCGTCATTTATTGTTCGTTATGACAATTTGAAATGACTGTTTTAGCGTATCTTGAGATCTTCTGTACTTATATATATATATATATATATATATATATATATATATTCGTTTTTCTCATTAAGTTAGTGATACTGCTGATTTAAAAAAAGAACTATCCACTATTTCTACTATCTTGCTAGTTCCGAACCATGTTACTTTTTTTAGTTATCTAAACTTGTTTCCATTAACAGTATTTTTTTGTTATTTTTTTGTTTTCAATTATTCATTTCGTTGATAAATTTTCTTATTTATTAATTATAAGTTTAATTTGTAGGGTGAAGTGTTTTCTAAGCAAGTATATATTCCAGTAAAAGAGTGAATGAGTTTTACATGAAATCTAGATCAACCTGTTTTGCAAAAGATCATGTTCTTTTCTCCTTTGGTTTTGATGTTATCAATAAGTATCATCTAATCATCATTCACTGTTGTCCTACTCAGTTAATCACTAACAATGTTCGAACAACTTCAACGTTTTTTGACTTGATATGAGGTTTTGATGGAAAGGTACTAAGATGTACAAGATTAACTTTGATCTTATATGTCAGTGTTTGATGTAAATATAATGTGACTCATTTACCAATTACAGGGATCTCTGTAGTCATCACACAGTCACTTTATTTGTGTGTAAGGATCTTATGATGTAGGGTTTCTTGTCTGCTACCATTAGCCACCATCGTACATCTCAACATAGTGCATACGATGTCGAGTCACTTAGACTAGTAGATACACTGCAACCTGATCTACAGAATTTAATTAGCACTAAGAAGAATATGACATACATAATACTAATCACTGCTCTGTGATCAATGGATTGTAAGTACTATCTATCTGCTTAAACTGCAATCTACTAGTTGGAAATCGAGGTCTTCAAACGAATGAGCGGACATTATTATTGAGGTTGGTTTTTACAATAAAATATCTATAGAAGTTTCATTGTTGAAGCCATATATTTATTCTTATGAAAGTAATTAAAAATGTTTCTATTGCATATTATAACTAGTTTTGTAACTTTTATCACTGATGTCTATTTTTGGGGACATTTGCTTCAGCTATTTCATTTTCCATGCCCTTCTACATCGTTATTCCCGGGATCCGATCGCACAACAAGATCTCTTTCAAATGAGCCCGCTATAAAATTACATGGGAATTTATATTTACCTCATATAGATGTAGATAATCCTTCCAGGACAACTTCAGGGTCACAGGTGAGCAATTTTAATTTACATGAATAATCTGTTACAATTAGATACACCAAGACTTTGTCAATGAAATTCACATTGATTTTACTCATTTCTGCGTGGATTTGGATATCAGTATTATGGATCGTATACATCGTATTACCGATGCATGGGCAGCTGCATCGGAAGCTGTCAGTCGTTTATCACCATTAAGACAATCTGATTTCAACCATCATGCAGAATGGTGTGATACAGACATAAATAATGATATTCCAGTTACAATGAAGTCTGGTCATCATCATCATGTAGAGCTGGTAAGTTATAATTTCTCTCTATTGTATGTCGATTTTTGACTGATTCTTACATAAATACTTGGTTTTGAAAAAGGAGTGTTATATATATATATATATATATATATATATATATATATATATATATATATATATAAACCAAGAATCCATGTATCTGAACTGTTAAAACAGCTTTTTTAAACTAAACTGTTGACAACTCAATCCTGTATACTACCTTTGTTGTGAATTATCCACTAAAGTCCACTTTCAACTCATATGACTCAATTTAATGTATGAGATAGTCATTAACTAATCAAATGATAACCTATAACTTGATATTGGGTTATTTTATTAGTTAAAAAGACTGTTCATGTTCTTGTCTCCACTTGATACTTTTCACTGTTTTTTTTGGGGGGGATTTAAGGCATTAGGTAGGTGACCCGTTTTCTAGTTGTTCTTTTAGACTAAATGCTAACACATTGAGAAACGCTATTCAGAATCGCTTGACCATTTAGTTTATTATTTTTCTTTTACAATATCAACAAAACGCTGCATAAAGTGATTTATCTATCTTATATTTTATTTGCTTTGCTTTTTTGACATTACGTTGATAAATTGTTGTTTCTGATATTTACAATTATAAGTTTCCTTGATAGTTTTATAAATCTTTCACTTTAAAATGATACTTTGTTTCCCTTACAACTGCCATTGATTTTTGTCTATGTATTCTGTCAGTTTATTCTTTTCTCTTAAATTGTATTCTCTATGCTAAATGCTCCATTTTATACCGTCACCAATATTATTACTACTTCTACTATTCTGGTATTTATCATAATAATTTCATCTCATTGTGTTAATATGATGTGGAAACTGGTTTTACTTTGTTTTTGATAAACCAAATGACTTATAATAATTATCTTCCTCAAATAATTACGTTTGTTAATAGAAGGTAGCTAATTAGCAATAAATAAAATATATATGTTGCTATTATTTGGTTATATGTGTAATCAAAACATAACTCACCTTCAGCGTTACCTCTAGGTGGGTAAGGGCGGTGCGCATCAATCTTATTTTACTAATTCAACAATGGTAAATCGGTTACCGAGACTGTTAACCCCTACTCAATGATTTGGTTGACACGCGTTACGTATAACACCTACTTAGCTATCATTTAGCCCAACGCATAATGTGACTAACACTAAATCGGTAAAAGAAGATAATGGCTGACCAGATGGAGATGTGGCATCAATTCATGGAATCACTGACTGTCTGTTTTAGCTGTTTGGTAATATGTTAATTTCATGTTGGAGACGCTAACTGGTGTAATATGACATTCATAGTCGCATTCCTCCTGGAGCCTCTATTGGGCTACTACCGGTCCTAAACCCGGATAAAGGAAGAAGGTTGGGCATGGGGTTAGTGGCTCTATCTTGTAGAAAACTAACCCGCTAAAAAACACTAACCAGTAAAAATAATTCAGACCATTTAAACTCTACCCTGGGAGTTAGGTCTTCATTTAGAAGAGTTATGACGCCTCATGGTGAAAGCCGAGTTCCTTCGGAAGTCACGAGGCTAATGCCCCTTCTGACAACTAGAGCAACCATTAATTTAAGTACATGGAATGCTCGTACAATGTGGGGGACCGGGAGAGTCATCCAAATTGCTGCAGAAACGGGACAAAGTGGGTTAGAGAATGCTGGTCGGTGGCCCATGCTCCAGTAACAGGCGTAATTAAGTTGCATTGATCCTTTGTTTTTTTTATCTTGACTCCAGACCCATCCTTTTTTTTCCTCCCTGTTTCCATCATCTTCATGAAATCACAAACACTTGGTGGTACTGTGTATTCGCTGAACTAAATATTTTAGTCGCCGATCTTTCATTTCCATTCTGGACAACGCCATTAGCGTTTATTTTGTATCGAAATGAGTATTACATCACTTCGTCCCGATGGGTTTTATTGTTTCCATTATATTCATGTTGATTATCTTTGTCGGTCGATCTCTTACCATGTGATTAATTGCACCCTTCCCTATGAGTCCATAGATTAAGTCTCCATAGACGAGGAAGACAACGTATCACAAACAAGGTCATGAGAACAAAGTGATATATATATATATATATATATATATATATATATATATATATATATATATATATATATATATATATATATATATATATATATATATATATATATATATATATATATAATAAACATATGTTAACTGCTGAAATGATAAATCGTGCTTTGTTGTTTATAACCTCTTTTAGAATTCAATTAATAAATCCAAAAATTCATTCACACACAACATCCCTCCTTCAACCGATTTTCAATCAAATCAAATAGATTCACTGAGGCATTTTCAGTCATCAACGAATATGACAGTGAAATGTCACAGTTTTGAGCTTAATTTACGCTTTCCTATTCCTATAGAAGCAATAAAAACGGTAAGTTTCATTTAATTTGTATATGATGCAGAGTAATAATTAGGCTGTTATTCGTTCAATTCGTGTTTGTAATTATGATAATCAATAAAAAGACAAACAATCAGTTAAAAGATCTCCACTTAACAAATACACTAGTTATAATTGTTGTACTTCACGACAATACGAATATAATCAAATCAGTATGATAATCTAAAAATGAACATGTTTTACAAGCTTCCCTATCTGTTATTCTTTAACCAATGTCCTTCAGTTTGGCCTAATTCAATCCATATATAACAATCCGAGAAAAGGATATATACAAGATATTAGACACAATTGAATTGCATATAATAGAAATGATATACGTTTATATAAAAGTTATGTAGCAGTGTTTCAGTGTGTACAAAATTAACTAATAGAACAATTCTAGTATGTAAAGAGTTTCATTTACCCGTTCAGTGTAAAGACAAATCAATGTGTACAAATCATTTTCTTAATGTCAGATAAATTTAAACGTTTAATATTCATTCCTATGCAATTGATCTTCTTAATAGCTTGATTCGAAGTGGTATGGGAAAATAAATAGCAGTCAGATTTTCCAGATATTCATTTATCTAAAAAATTTGTTTATCTATGTCAGGGTCAGCTTTTGATTACTTCACCTGAGGTTTTTAATAATTCATGTCTAAAATCTTTACTATGGTTGAACTGGTGAATACTGTTGATGCAGTGAAACGTATACTTCATTTTCCAATTGAATCCCATCACTTTAAAGTTAACGTTTACAATCAAAACATATGATAATTTGTTTTCTGTGAAATAACTCGATAAACATTATTCCATGCTTTTATCATGAAAATCCATAATAACTTGTAAGACTTGAACCATAAATTAAATTCATAATAATTCTACTGGTTTTAAGGATAAGGATAATTTTTTAACGTTTAGTGATGATGTTTTTACTTCAGCAATCCAAATAATCCATTTAATATATGTACTTTGTCTAGTAGTGTTGTTAAGTCCCATGCAACAAATGTCGAATCTTCTGTTGACTATCGATTTCTCTTGTTAGTAATCAGTGCAATTCTACCCTACATTAAAGAAGGGAAGTTACCTCTTTTTTCGTTTTTTTTCTTTGGTCCTTTAGCGTCCCACTTTTTTCCTCAACTTCTTGATATTCTCTTGTCACTTGTTGTCTAGTCAGTAAGTTGCTCTGTGAAATACCGAGTAAACTTTCAACCAACTTTCCAAACCGTAGTCACCACTTTTGAGTGGGGCAGAAGTAAGATATTCCTAGTGATAAATAACATCTCTACCGGTGGTCTTTCAAAATTTACCTAAAAGGATTATAAAAGCTTTTCTATAAAAGTGTCGATCGTTTCCACAGCTCTATGAATCTTCTTTTATTGGTGGTGTTGTTTAAATTGCAAATTTATTACTTTAAAATCGACAACTCATGTAATCCGAAATACTGTCTATGATCTATTTGTTGAAGAGTTGTCCTTTTTGCTTTATGGTTTCATTCTTTAGTGTATTGATGAAATCTACAGCTATAATCTAGCTTATTTTTTCAGGTTTTTGATGAAAAAGGTTCCTTCTGTAATGCGGAGGGTTAAAAAAAGTATTAATTGGTCCCTCAGACCTCTCACAACATTCAAGTCCAATCCGATTCCATTAATTTACCATCATATTTCTTTTTGAATGATGATTTTCCTTGCATTTAGTATTTTATAACTGACTATCGCTAATATTCGAGATTGCTGATTAATCAGTCTCTGTTGCCATGTATATTGTCTACGCTGATTATTCTGACATAGTATTGTGCTAACTAGTATTTTGCTATAAGTGGAATGCAGAACGTGTGTTTCGTCCTACCTAGGACTCGTCATTTGAATTTTTCGTATCTCAATGTCATCATTAAGAAGTTATATTTTCTTCGGGAACTAATGATATTTTAATGTGTTCGATTGTTATGTATCTTTTATCACTGTTCGAACTATCCAATGAAATATCATTAGCTTTACCACAATATTATATGCTATGGGTCATCGGCTTAGTGTTTAGATTTGTTTTTGGTTGGATTGTATCATATTTACTATTTTCATTATTATTAGTACTATCATACAAATATTTTTGTGTTTTCTAATTGTATTAGAATCAACATAAAGCTGAACTCAGTATAAAATTAAATGCATCGATTGTTTACAGCTAACGTTATGATATATTTATAACACCCCGTAATCACGACATTAATTTATATGGTCTTTGTAGTATGTAACAATGTTTTGTTTTACTTAACTATAAATGTAATAAAAAGTGACTTAATTAATCAAATAAAATTATAGTTTGACACTCCAGAACATATAATCATATATTATGTTACTGGCCTGTCAAGTTGATAATATGTACGTAACGCAATTACTTCTTTATAAAAAAATTCGTAGCTTGGATTTATGTAGCAATTCTTTATATTTCTTTTATATGGGATAATTGTTAACTAATCATCAAGTATGAATAAAACTAGTGTAAAAATGTGTCTTTCTGTATTACTTTGACTTATTTCTGGAATCAAATAAATCCATATCAGCATTCTTTGTGTTTTCACTATGCGTCTTCATATTTGGGGTTCCCAGCACCAAGTACAAGTCATTTAAGGATTCATGAGACATAACAGTTTACGTATTGAATGACATGTTTAGCTTGGGAATCCCTCATTTAGTTTTAGCGTTATTTCTGTATCGAAAACTTTTTTTTGCGTATTTTCTTAAAAATAGGCCTCTGGTCAAAAAATTGCAGAAATCCGATCAAAATTATGGGGTGCCGGGACAGTAAACAACTCGAATCAATCAAATTCTGTACAAAGTATATCATGGTGGGCTAGGACAGTTCGTAAAGAATATCTCTCTATATTTATGAAAAAGATTCGTCTAAATTTTGATAATTCCAAAGAGTTATCCCCGAAATCACAACCATTTGGTAGACCGAACGATCATTTACAAAATGTTACAAAATCTAAAATTTCTTCTTTTAAAAATGGAAAGCATAACGGAAATGAACAGGAACTAGAACTAATTATAGGATCCATATCAGGTGAATAGGAATTTATTTTGCAATAACTTTAATCGCATTTGGCATTAAAATGTTTCCGATTACTTAGCAATATTATGTGATTTTGAGCGGCTTTCTATTCAAACGCAATATTGGAAATTGTTAAACCTCAGGTTGGTTAAGCTTTAAGTACTAATAAATTCTATTATTGAATAAGTTAAAGGGTCATACAAGAAGGAGTGGAAAGAATTTTCTTATAATTGACATTTTAATCATCAACTGATCAAAATCTTATGTAAAAATTTGATATGAAATAAACAATATTACGAGTTTGTTATTGTTAGAATGATAATAATACTAATAAAAACGGCAGTTTGTAGGTTATATTCTTCACAGATTGATCTCAATTCGAGTATCGAAGTCAACCAACAAGCACCTGACAACTGTTTCGTCTCAGTATGATACTTCTTAACCATGCGCACTTATGACCTCATCAGGGACTAAACTTCATAACCTTCAGGTTTTTGCATAGAACATTCAACCATTAGAAACACTAAGTTGGTGTCAAGTAATAAAACCCTAAGTTCAATTCAGGATGTGGTATGACGATCATCCAATGGAGTAGATGACAGTTGCTGAATTAAGGCTCTAGTGATCTAATTATTATCGTTTTGTCAAAGCAGTCTTGTTTAGATTGGTTTAATTTGTAGGTCGTATTCGCCACAAATTGATCTTAATAGGGGTAGTATTGAAGACCAATCACATTGGGTAGTCATCCCCTCATATCGTGAATCGTTAAAGTTAGATAAAGCTTTTTAAGTATAAACAGGCCATCTTTGAAGTCTTATCGTGAATTGATTGCTTCAGTACTGGCTTAGTTGAGAAATTAACGTGGAAGTTAGCGGAATTAAACGTCGTTTCCATGTATCCGTTCAGTGAACCTGTGAAAATGTCACTCGCTATGTCACCTTTGAAATCAAGTCTTCATATATGTACTTCTTTATGAATCTAATAGAGTATGAATTTGTTAACTATTATCAACACTCATTTCACTAACGGTTTATACAGACAATCTATAAAAAATATCTTGTGACATTTGTTTCTTTCACTTTTAAATGTATTAGCACTAACATTTGCACATATATCTGAACTTAACTATTACATTGTCCGACTTTCAAATCACTTTTAAAAGAACAAGTCTTGGATTTAAAATAATTAGATTACTTTGATCTGCCCAATAGTTGTTTTCTTCTTTCACTGAGATCAGTAAATTAAACAGTTCGGATATAGAGGTTTATAAAATAAATTGATTAAGACAGGCGACAAATCAAGAAGTTGCAAGTTTTTCGTATTTCACTCCTTAAAATAGACAATAAAGTTGTGCTTGATTAGTTTCTTTTCTCTTATCATAAATTCTTAAAAATATCAAGCAAGAAATAGATTTTCTAAATTTCAAACTCAGGTATTTTGCATCTCTGCTCTATCACAGATCATCATAATTCTTGTTCACAAATACCTCTCTTTCTGTTTCTTTTAATATAATTCTTTTTATGTGAAGTACATTTGGCTAATGATGATCTAAACATACAATCAATGCCTATCGTATATTTCACAACAAAAATGAATCCTATTCCTGAACCAATCAAGTAAGTGCAATATATATATATAATAATCCTAAAAATATATCATTACTTTTTCAGTCACGTTTTATAATAAACGTTATGATTCTACTTTTGATGAGGATAATGATTTATAAAAGTTGGTTGAGATTGTGCGCCTTTTAAACACCGTTCTGTTCTTTTAACGTTTAAGCTCTCACCATGGTACCTGAAAGTCATGAATCTTAGGTTCGTATTACTGAAGAGTTATATTGTAGGACGAATTATCTGTCCAGTACTTCTTGGTTTTCAACGATACCTTATTTAAAGTTGATAGATGACAAATACCACCCACAAATTAAAACAATGTCTACAAAGCTACTTCATCTCATTACTTTTAATACTTTTATGTGATTAATAAGAACGTTTGTCTAAATCTGATCGAATAGTTTCACAGTATTTGAGCGCCGAATTGATGTGAAACATTGGATTTACATCAAATTCATTCTCTGAGATTTTAAAAATACATTCTTTCTCTTTAATGTTTTATGTGATTAGTTTTCACTGTAGATTCATTAAAGTTAATTTTCTTAGAGCTTATAATTATAAGGTGAGTCTTTTGAAAAATGGTTTGAAATGTGCAGTGGATATATATATATATATATATATATATATATATATATATATATATCTTAATTACAACAAGTGTAATTGTCATCATCTTTAATTGGAGATCTTAACTGATATTATTTGAAATCGATAAAAAAAGCCTTAGTTCATATTCATGATTCATATACCTTGAAATTTTGAGCTTTGTATTATCTCTCTTACTATTTATTCTTTAATCTTATTTATTTTCTGTTTTAAGTATAATTCTTATTTACTTGAAATGAAATCGCATTATATTCAAAACATTCATTCTTATTAGATTCTACAGTTAAAACTTCAAATTATTTTTGGTTAAAGGAATAAATAATTTTGTTGGCAAAAACACTTTTGATATTCTAAATTTATGACTTTTTATATATATTTTTTTAATATTGGAATTGGAAGGAATATTTAAATGAACATACATAAATAACGTGGGATAAGAGAGTTTATCTTATTTAAACATATAATGATTGATATAATGAGGCTCCGAATATGTATGCTCCACACTTCATCATTCGATTTGTTTGCGTGTGAGGGCTGGGATACTGCCTAGGTGTTCAAACCGAAACAGGTGATTTTTTAGAGGGCCACTCTCCAGGTCTTTGACCTAGAGGTCTAATTCACAATACAGTCTAAAATTAACTTTAATGGAACTGTTGGTTTATGTACTTTAAGGAAATCTTCAAAGCATTGATGCATAAACTGGCTTCACTCTCTCCTTCTTTGAAGACATTTGATTGTTGGTGAATCTGATTGATGTTCATTACTTTTGTGGAAACAATGATTTCAGCTGTCTAAGAAATATTCCAAAGTTTCTTTTTTCCTTTTCTTCTTGGAAATTATGGAATAATCCCAAGGTATCTACTGATGTCATAACAATACTAATAACTTCACATTTACATCCGTAGATTTCGATCTTCAGTTACCAAAATTTGTCAGCATCGTCAAATGAATTTTTTGTGTTTACTGTTTGCAACTTAATAAATTTGTCTGATTGAATATATTTTTTGCATTACGTTACTAGTTCATTGTATTTTGAAGTAAATACTGATTATAGAATATTTGAGTAGTACTTCATCATATACATAATTATATAGTATTCAATTTGATTTTCAGAGTGTATATACGCATATCTCCCAGTGGACAAACTGATCTTGTCGAGTGTGTAAATGAAAATCCAATGAATAAAGATTTTGATGAACAGACAACAACTAGAGAACAACCTGCTCAATTTGAAGTAGGCGTTGATCTAACAACATTTAATGAGTATATTTCATCATCTGATCAATTTTATGGTCCAAATAGATCTAATCATGATCATTCTGTTGAATGGTCATTATGGAATCAAGCTAATCCTAAGCAAAATTGTTTTATTCCTTTAGTAGTCAGAAAGAACTTTGCTCAAGATGCACCAAAACCTCATTCTAAACAGGTTAGTGATTTCTAGTCTCGTATTAATTACTAATGCAATAAAAATGTTTACATGTGTTATTCATTTCATAAACCGGTTACTATCAGGAAAATGTTTCGAGAATGAAGTGATTATCTGTCTATTCAACAATAGATTACCTTAATATTGTTTAAATTATTAGTAAAAGTTTAAAATTTATCAAATATTCAAGAATATTTACTTCTACATAACTATTTTTATGACAAAAATTACTTGTGAAGTTACCTGATTTCAACTCTATTTAATTCGTCGTTTTTTAAACATGTATCTAAAATGTACTGCGGTAAATTTTTGATTTCTGCATACTGTACGATCTACATGCTCCACCAAGTCATAAAACTATATCATTTGATAACCACTTTTACTCTGTCCTGTCAAACAGATAAAAATTCTTGCAGAAATACGGTTTTGATTACTGATTGGTCATTTTCTGACTCTAACTTTGAATATATGATAGTCAATCAACGATTCTAAACTGATAACTCATGGATACATGTACAAATTATTAAAGGTATACGAATTGAAGTAAACATAAAATCACCTATATCATTATTTTTTATCACTCTACTATTATGTGTCGATAAACATATAATTTTTCTTTAGTACTAAGTTTCGACATATGTGTGGTCTAAGTACCACAGCTATAAAAATAGTTGAAGCCTATCCGTCATAAAATTAAATGAATGTAATGTGAATTTTTTTAAATACATTGACAAAATTGATAAATTTAGAGTGCTGTTAAAAAGATGATATTTTGTCCAAATACTAATTTTATAATGTTTTTGAAACTTTATAAACTATCTTGGTCACTTATTGCCCTAAATGTACCCATGTTTTCTGTACCTATATTAATCTTAGTGGTAGAACGATTATAAATTTAGTGTACAACGTTTAAATACTAGACATATCACTGAACAACATGATTTTAGATAAAACCCGCAACTGTTATATAGTTTTACCTGCAAAATATTGTGAATAATCCTTGAAAACTTATGTTGATCCTCCTATTATTTGACTGAATGGAATGACAACTGACCACTTCTATTTCTACCCATACGGATTTTCTCTTTCTGTTCTACGTGGTATAATGTTCCAACTTGTTTCGATACACTTCTGTGTGATTTAATGAATAGACATATTTATGTATTTCTCAAAACATCAGTCATATGTTAAGTTGAAATATTGAGTTATGCTATTCTAGTTCTTTGTTGTCTTAGTCTACCTAAATAGAGTCTTGTTTATCTTGTTTTCACTGAACTAGTCAGATCTTGTTTTTTTAATGTACTTCTCTCAGTGTTTTTATTTATTGTTTTTTCTTTATTTAGATAACTTATTACCCTGGTAATAAAGCTCATATGTTCGCCTATCGCCAATCTGCTAGTATGCATACCCACTTATTTGTACACTTTAAAATACCTTTGGCTGAAATCACAATTGAACATAAACAAACAGTGGAACTACTTTGTTTACGGTTAGTTCAACTTCTAAATGCTTATGTTGAATTGATTCCTTGATAAATTTTTGTTTGTTTATACGTACCGACAATAAAATGAGTTCATATTAGACTATGAACAATGGAATTTATATCTTTATTTCTAACTAAATTGAAGTGAGTTTTGTCCATAGATTCATAAGAATGCTTTGAATAATACGAATCTTGGAAACATTTAATAAAAAATTAGTTAAATCTGAGACCATAGTTTTATAATGTGATAGCCAACAATTGTTTTTGCAGTGAGATATCTAGCTTAACGTATTTTGTTGTACAATTTTTAGAAAACTATATACACATCATCTTAAAAGTGTTTTTTATCTCTGTATAGACGTTAACACTTAGTTATTTCTAGTTGAATAGTCAGTTACTTTAGAATTCTCCTCTAAAAATGATGTAAACAATCAAGTGATTTTAGAAATCGAAGCTAATTGTTAATTTTCCACTGGTTCAATGTTGAAACATTTAATTATCTAGTATATTAGCAACCGTGTTGGATGTAGGGCAGTTACCCACTAAAGACAATAGAAGATGGCCAGACAATATCGTGGATTGGCTAAAGTTAGACACTCACACCATAAGATGCCGGCTCAGTAGTCTAGAGGTTGAGCGTTGGCGTGCGAATCCAAAGCTCTTGGGTTCGGGTCTCATGTACAGGACCTTGGATGCGCACTGCTGAAAAGTCCCATACTAAAACGAAACGGCAATCCATTGCTTCCAGGTTTTTAATGATGGTCTGACATTGATAGGTTCATCATCTCAATTAGGATTAAATAATCTCCACAACCCTGTACTGATATTAGCGATATGTTGAGTCATTAACTGATTACAATTTCTAGGAAGATATTAAATTAATTCATCACCATCTATATGGTATAATTTTATAGTTGACAGTAAAACCTATGTACTATCGTAAAGAAATAACATGGAACTAATTGAAATGAAGTATTTTTTTCGTTCAACATGTATTTCTAAATCTGAATTTGATTGCAAATTCTCAAAATATCTTATTGTATTGTTGTATATTAATATTAATCTTTAAGAAATATGAGATGTTGATTAAATAAAGATTTTGCTATCAAGTAATAACGTTCAAGATTGTTGTTTTCATGAAGTTAACATATTCCAAACACAATGAACTTTTATCAAGATAATCATAATAAAAAACCTTCTAAATCTGTTGGCTGTTTTCAAGTTTTTCTTTTAACGTTGACAATCCATAAAACGTTTCTTTACTTTAACTTTTGTATAAACATTGTGTTTTTTTTTTGGTTTCAGTCATTTTTATGTGATCAGATTGTTTATTACTTTCAGTTAATCTTCAAATATATATTTATTTGATAAAAGTTATTGACATTTAATTCTTGATATCTCATATGTATTAAGTATTTTTCTATACATTTTACAGATTAATGTATGATCTTTTATTATGGCAATCATTGTTACCTAATGATCGTCGCCTACGTGCAACATTAAAACGTCCAAATCATACTTGTCCAACAGTAGATAATGTGACAAATTTACAATCGGATCATCGTTATTGGTTTTTAAGTGATCCTGCTCCTTTAGCCACTATCTATGCTCATCCAGATGCTGCACGAGCAGCCGCTGAACTTGAAGCAATATCACCAATCGGTTATTATAATGTAAATCATCATCCAAGCGGTCTACATTATCATTCAGTTAAAAGTGATGAAGAAGAGGATAGTGATTATGCTGAAAATGATTTAAACGAATTATATAGTAATACTTTTAATATCAAAGACAATACTATTAGCAATCATTACACAAAATATAACAAAGAGAATGTAAACCGTTTTAATAGTAAAATCTCTTGGTCAAATGATTTACGAAGAAATGTTAACAGTGAGTCATTTTAGTGGTCGTGCCTTAAACTGCAAATGTTTAATTTATCAATGTTTACTCATTGTGCAAACTATTCATACAATCACATTTCTATCAACTGTCTATTTATAAATATTGTTTAATGATTTTTCTCAGTCCACTGTAACATAGGTTTATATGCTAGGTTTCTATACTTGAATGTTCTGATTGACTGGAATCAAATACTGTGGCCTATACGGTGTTTAGTCTTGTATTGGTTGGATTCAGTACGGTGATTATATTTAAAGAATCATTGGTTACTCTGTATTCTTCATCTGATATTTTCTAAGTTGCTCTAACTTGGCTGAATGCTCTGCATAGAAATGATAACTTCAATACCAGTTGTTTAGTTTTCTAGTACCTTTTCTGTCAAGGTTTCATGGATCAGTTCTTTGAGCAGTTATTAGTTTGATCAACTCAATTACTAGTAGTTTGTCAGGTCACTTTTTTAATGGGATAATTTATCTCACCTTCCTCAGTCGGTAAAAAGGTTTTACCCTATAAGTATCACCGCAATCGTCTACTTTTAAGACTCTTTCATGGAACGCATCAATCCATCTTCTTCATACCCGCGATACTTCATGGCTTCGAATGGCTTCTTTGTTTTACTAAAACACACTCTAGTCACTTTACTATTGATTTTCATTTGGACTGTTACAATGGGCTAACGAATTCTGTAAATTAAGCTGTTAACTAGCTACATCTCCTTTCAGTCCAAAATTTGGTTACTTAACACAACACTAATTACTTACTAATTAAATTTGCCAGTGTTTATCACACAATCCATTTTTCTTCGCCCAGAATTTATCACTCCCTAATTATTGAGCTGTTATTGTTATATTCTTAACTAATTACAATCTATAACTTATTAAGTAACATCTCGTAAGGACTCGATCCTATTATATTCATAATGTTATGGTATAGTTGCTTCGTCTTTCATAGTTGTAAAGTCTAATTAATAATAAACCATTATTCTCTTGTTACTTAGTAATTTTATTTGTATATCAATATGTTTAGAATTGGTAAGTAATTGTTATTCTGAGTTGCGTTTTTCTCGATAATAAGTTCTGGAAATAATCAAAATAGATTTATCTATCATCGTATCTACCTTTATTTGTTTCTATTCTATGCCTACAGACAGGAATAATATAAATTTGAATCAACACTCCTTGTTGCATAAAAACCGTCAGCGTTGTACTGGTGATCATCATACTAATAATAACACTACTTACAGTGCAGATCATAAAGTAGTAGGACCATTAACGAATACTTCTGTTCAATTTCAATCCTCTATTTGTTTGCAATTAGATATAAACTCCTTACAATTTACAACATTCCTTCCTGAATCATCATCATCATCTGTGGGAGGAATTCGACTAACTGAAAAAGTGATTATAAATGCCTCTAATACTACATTATTCACTGAGCTTTCGCATAATTCTAATCCGAATTTAAATTATGTTGAAATGGAAGTTGGTGAATTCGATATATCTTATAGTTGTAAGTATCGTATTTGTAACATATTTTCACATTATTCCACTGGTTATTGTTTTTTGGTGTTTGTTTGCTTAGAGTTAGACTAATGCACGTTACTTTCACATGCAGCATTATTTCAACAAAATGTTATCAAAATATTAAAACACTATTCAATAACAATCAATCCATGATAGTCCTGAATTGGTTAACAGGAGCTAATTAGCAACACAATCAAATAAGCAAAGTAACAGTTAAACTAGAATGAGCATATTCTACTAGTCATTACAAGAGTTTTGGAAGTGTATGTGTATATTTTGTCCACGTATTAACAGTTCTTTTATTTGGAACCGAATTATTGTCCTTTCACTGTAAACTCCGTCCATCACTTCAAAATTATATCCAATTAACCGTTGAGTTACAGGTTTGAACCCAATTGCTTTTAGTTCACCATTTGAGTTGAATTAATCAACTACTTGTAAATGTAGTTACTTACTAAATTAAATCAATTCATATTATGTGGTCGTCCATAACGGATATTTTTATTACAACTTCCGGGGAGTTTCATGAAAGTGTTTTACCAATGTTCATTAGTTATAAATTTTTAACTTGACTGAAGTACTTGTAGTTATATTCGTATTTAGTTCACTGTTTTATTACATTAAAGCTTCAATATTTTCAAAAGCTTTCGAGTTGTTTGTGTTTTAGTCTTATCATCAGTTTAAACACTTTCCACGCTGTTATTAAACCACTAGTGTGGTTTCTAATTGAGCGGTTATGTCATAGACATTTAGTTAGTAGTAATTGAGGTCACACCCTGTTCTTACTTCGTTTTCCAATACATATGTAACCTAAATATTACCAAGTTTCGTAACTATATAATAATTCATATTATTTTGACTTCATATCTTTCACTAAGCAACATTTCATATAACAATCAACGTACCAACGAATAGAACTCCCAACTGATCGTTGGTAATTTGTAATTTATTTCGACTATCGAAACATTTACAACTTTCAGATTAAGATGAGACGGAGACGCGTTATCCACTTAGCTACTGAGTCCTGATATCCACTTGCTTGTGCAATGGGGTGAAGTTTAATTCACTTGATATTGTTTTACTTAAATCTTCCCATTGATGTTTTAGGACTGAAATTGATCAGTCTCTTATTGGCATATGTGCATACTGTGCGTATGCCTCGATATTGCCTTAATTTACAAGCATTATAAGCAAAGATGGATAGTGGCTAGAATACGCACAGTATGCACATATGCCAATGAGAGACTGATCAATTTCAGTCCTAAAACATCAATGGGAAGATTTAAGTAAAACAATATCAAGTGAATTAAACTTCACCCCATTGCACAAGCAAGTGGATATCAGGACTCAGTAGCTAAGTGGATAACGTGATGGCGTTTGAAGCGAACGGTACTGAGTTCGAGTCCCAGAGGAGTCCCAGAGTGAACATCAACTCTGAGATGCAGGTACATCCAGCTGACGAGTCCCAAGCAGGACGAAACGCGCGTCCTGGATTCCACTGCTAGCCACTATCCATCTTTGCTTATAATCATAGACACGTTTGTATATTTTCATGGTTGTAAGCTTCCCCTTTGATTTTCGTACTAGCCCCATAACCTGACATGTTACTATCTTCAACTCGTTTTGTTCTAAGTAATCTTGTCTTTTAAAACGTAACCAGCGTATTCAATGGTTTTTTTTAATGGTGTTCGAAATCCTCTAGGTAGTCAAAATCCGAATTCTGATAATCATAGTTCTGCTGATAACGCTCACCCATCATCATCAGATTCGCCAGCTAGTTTATGGCCAGTTTTAATTCATCTTTCATGGGATTCTATTGGCTATCCATATGGTTCAACACTTCATCAAGTTGGTGTATCTACCGCGAATTCATCGAACGAACCAACTTTTAGCATGGCTTTAGAACATAGACAAATTCATCGTTTATCCGATTCAGGTATAAAACTTGGAGAATTTTGTATCTTTTATTTAATTAAATATCATGTGTACCGTCAGGACTAATTTCCAAAACCTTTTTAGAAGCACTGTAATTATTACATCCTTGAACTTTTGACAACATTTCACGATGAAGAAACCCCACTAAGTTCTTATCTTGACATTAATAATCAGGTACTCATTATTGACCAACTTTGAGAATTTCGAAAGTTCTGGTAAGAAGCTGTAATCAACAATATTTAATCATCTGTGGCAAAATATGATGATTTTTCAATATTTCTAATTAATTGAAGTTAAAATTGTACGTCACTGACCGCTAACTTAACGTTCAAAATGTAAAGTCCCTGCTACTTGATATGAACTTTCTAAATCCGATCCCTGATGGGTCTTAGGTGTGTGCTGCTAAAAACTCCCAAATTAAAACGAAACAGTTACCTAGCTAAAATTAACAGTCCTCATCATTCATTATGACTTTTTTTCATTGAGTTTAAGCTACAATTTTCACTAATTCAGTCAAATGGTGCTTATCCATGTGTAATTATTCATACGGATGTAACAAACAAATTGATCTGTTTATTTGAAAATAATTAACTAAATAACAATTCCAACTCATTGGATGATTGATTGTTCTAACTACTACAAAAGCCAACCTTAGAAACTTATCCAATATGATTTTTTTCTAAATACATATTATAACTTCACATATCATTCTTTTCTTGTTCTAATTTCCCAAACTTATCGTTTTGCTAATATTGGTAAAATATTAATCAATAACTATGTGAAACTACTTCTGTGATTTGCTCGTTGTCACATCATATTGTACTGAACGTTTTCATACACCCGAAAGTGTTGTCCACGATTTATCACCAAATTTTTTTTCAAAATGAATATATGCTACCATAGTCCTTGCTGACATTAAATAATGCACACAGTGTTCATATCTCTAGATGAAACTGATTAATGTAGTTTAGTAAATCGTCTGACATAACGTGATAATGTTCAAAAATTCGAAGCTACTTGAGATTACCTGTCTTTTATTAACAGTTACCTTTTATATACTAATGAGCTATTTCAACTTTAGTATCCACTACAATGGTACAAACAGATAAACATAAACGGGTATATATATATATATATATATATATATATATAATCATTTCTTTTCCTTCTTTTATCAAGGTAATTCAACGTACGATGATGAATTCATTTTGACTCTTCGAATTCAAGAGGTTTGTTTTATTTATTGGCCACTATTCAGTTTAAATAATCGTTGGGATATTTATTCAAATATTGGTAATCCCAATTTAACAACTCCAGTCAATTCTTCACATTCTAATACTACCACTACAAATACTAACAATAGTTTTAATTATTTAACAGGTTTACCGAATTGGTTTATTCGATTTTGTAGTTTATATCAAACTCCTAATTTATCATTCATTACAGAAGAATATCCGAGTTATTATGCACCAGCTTGTCTATTCTCTCAACATTTACACTTTGAACATTTAACGGCTACATTTTCAATGCCTTACCCAGAATATTTTATCTTGTCAACAAATAAACCGACTTCTGTAAATTATCAAATGCCTATTTTACATTTTATGATTGGTTGTGAATCAACTAGTATTACTGTAAATACAGCTATGGAAACGTTGACAATTTGTTCATCAATAAATAATAATAATAATCAAGTCGATATGCAACCTGGAATGTTAGTTATGGCATTTATTAATAATCTCGCCATATTTCTATTCCCTTTTAAATTTAATGTAAGTTGTTAAATTTTTTTCAAATTAAAAATAATAAATAAATAAACTATTTTCTGTTTGATACAAAATTACATTAGTAGTAAATGGTAAAGTTTATGATTGATGAGAAGTGACTATCAATTAAGATAAAATCAAATATGTTTATACTTTAAATTTTTATCCATGCTCTTTGAATTATTTTGTTTCGTTACAACGACATAGAATGTCCTACTATTTTCTTTTTCATTAGAATTCTAGATTAGTTACAAATATAAACAAACACATATTTTTTAACTGATAATGATTCTACATAGTTTTAAACTAAATATGATCTGTTACTTCGTGGAATTCAATGAGATATCAGGTATTGCATGAGTGTAATCAATTGTATTTAACCCACCACGATAATCTTAAATAGATATATCCACTTAAAACGTCATAAATGAGTGAATTGATTCGAATAACCCTACTGTTTATCAGTAATATTTCTAAGGCCCCTATCATTCAATCAGTGATTTATCTTGTTTTCCACTTGATCTTATATAAAGTCATTCATTTAAGCCAAATTGAAGTTAATGAATATATCAATTAGAACAAAATTAACCCTTTATTTGCTTAACTTCTCACAAAACGGTCCATTTTTAAAAGTTGTACAGTTGACTATAATTGTAAAACCAATCACTATGCTGATATTCTTTCTTTAAACTCAATTTCGTCGGTAAATTTACATGTCTATTGAAACTTTTAACACCTCAGAAATTGTGTAAACGAATAAAGTGAACTAAATGACTACTTTCACATCCATTCATGGCTTAATAATTTATTTATTTATTTGAACACATATATATTGGTACAGGAGTGCGCCAAATATATATGCGCCACACAAAACAATGAGAATTTAGGAAGGAGAAAAAGAAAAAAGTGGGGAACGTAAAAAAAATATAAAATGAACAATAACGAAGAGATTGTTGTAAGGTAGTGTAATAATAATCATTGTAATAATGGGGGAAACGGAAAAGTACAATCAGAAGAAATCTTTCAGTTAAGGAAGAAACAACCATTTTTTATGAAGAAAGTAAAAGAAGGTTACAGCAGGATCGCCACTGGCTTCTATTCTCAGCCATATCTGATAACGTCTCTAGCCACTGTGTAGCACCATCTCTCGGACCCCAACCAGGGAGTCGTGAAGGACCACCGACACAAGCCAGCCCTTTGCAGCTTTCTTTCATACCACGACATCATGTCATACACTGACCATCTCTCCGCCTCTTCAACCAGTCCCAGAGTCGGCAAATAATGCACGGCGTGGAATTCTCTGGGACGACATCCGTAGAACATGTCCAAGCCACCGAAGTCGATATTTTAAGATGGTGACACCAATTGAATTATCCTCTCTGTGCACGAACACACGATGCCGAACCTCTGCATTACTAACATGGTGTTGCCACTGGATGTCAGCAATCCTTCGGAGACAACGATGATCAAACACAGAGAGTCGTCTAACATCCTCAACTCGAAGAGGCCAGGTTTCACAAGCGTAGAGCAAAACTGCTTTCACCGACGCGTTGTAGATCTGACCTTTTACAGCCAAACTGACATCGCGAAGGCGCCAAAGATGGCCCAGATTGGCATAAGCCTCTCTGGCTTTCACTATACTTGCATTGATCTCATCACTCACGCCACCACTAGCACTTATGCAGCTACCAAGATACACGAACTTCTCGACTACTTCTATCTGCTCACCATCCAGAGTGAGTACAGGATTGGAATCCTGCCAGTCTTGTAGAAGTACTTTGCATTTCGAAGGTGCAAAGCACATACCATGCCTACGGACACTGATTGCCAACTGATTAAGTGCGGATTGCATGGCTTGTGCACACCCTTCTTCAATCCCAGAGAACAGTCCTGTCCAACGAATCGAAGGCAGCCCGAATGTCAAGAAACACAACCTACGAAGTATGACGGAAGCCAATAGCTTGGACGCAATCGGAAGTAGACTTATCCCCCGATAGTTGTTACAGGAACGACGTGAACCCTTTTTAAAGATAGGGACAACTATCGACTCATTCCATGACGTTGGTACACTCTCTAGTTCCCAAACCTTTGTAAACAACGTCGTCAATTCCTTAGTCAAAAAGTCACCACCATCTTTAAAAAGAGCCGGAGGTAAGTCATCTGGGCCAGGTGATTTGTAACGCTTCAAGAGTTGGAGTTCCTTGCGGACTTCCTCCTCATTTGGTGGATCAGTCGTCACCGGCCATGGAGGGCAGGACAGTCTGACCGATGTTGCCGGAGCAGCAGGCCAGTTGAACTGCCCTTCGAAAAATTCTGCCCATCGTCCAAGACGTCGATGGATGTTAGTGATTGGCATCCCATCATCCTCGCAGATTGTTTCACTCACACCAGACTTCTTGCTGCCAGTGGCTCGGATGAGTTGGAAGAGCTTCCGGTAGTTACCAGATGCAGCTGCTGCTTCCAGCTCATTAGCACGCTTCGACCACCAGGCTTCTCGGTCCTTACGCAAGCTTTGCCCAATTTCCTTACGTAACATCCTTCGTTTATGGTCAAACTCACGGTCACCCGGAGTAGACCGACGGGCTTCAATGAGTTGTAAGGAACCAGAAGAAACCCAGTGCTTAAAGCGGGACGTTTCGCAAACCCACAACTGACTTTTCCCGCCATTTTCATGGCGTCATGCAATTGCAACCAATGCTCATCTATACTTTTCGGTGGAGTGGTAGCTAGCCTAGAGGCTAGCTCGGTTCGATACTTACTTGCAACAGAAGTTGCAACCAGCTTGCTAACATCAATCCGTTGGTGGTGGTCACTTCGTTGGCCACTGAAAAGTAAGGCAAGATTGGCGCAGACCAAGGCATGGTCAGAGTCCAGATAGGTACTCCAAAAGGAGCGGCAGTCTTTTACACAACCACGCCAGCGGTAGCTGATCGCGATGTGATCAATCTGAGTCCAGGCTTGAGATGCAGAGGGAGGACGCCAGGTGGCACATCGGCGATGACTGTGCCGAAAGTTAGTGCTAGCCAGAAACAGGTTGTGGTCTGTGCACAGTTGCAGTAGACGGTCCCCGTTATCTGACCTGCGACCAACAAGTCCCCATCGGCCACCTAAACGACTCTCTTCTGTGCCTAGACGCCCGACCTGAGCATTCAAGTCTCCGGCTAGTACTACAATATCTGTCGAACGCACTTTCTGGAGAAGAACAGATAACTGGTGGTAAAACTCATCCTTGATTGCATCCGGGCTGCAATCTGTCGGGGCATAGGCGGAGATGACGAAAAGACATCGTTTCTCACGCCGATTTCTTCTCACTTTGATGGAACTTTCTAATCTAACAGCACATAACCGACTGTTAATGGGGATCCAATCGACTAGTGCTGCCTCAGCTCTAGCGCTTAGTGCGACACCAACGCCAGCAAGACCAGACGAAGATGCCACAGGGTCCCCGGATAAGCGCACGTAAAACAAGCTTTTCGAAGCGACAGATGGAGATCGAATTTGTAGTACTTCGCCAGAGTCTTGAATACGGGTCTCGGATAGACAACAAACATCAATATTAAGACTTTCCAAAGACATAGCCAGCCCTATCTGTTGTCCGACCTGCATAAGTGTGCGAACGTTGAAGGCAGCCAGTTTGAATGGTGCACGTGGTTTCAGAAAAACTGCTTCAGTCCTCGTATTCGGTGGTAACATACAATTTTCAACCGGACAGTGACTCGAGAACGTTTAGATACAGTCGGATTTCCACCATAGACGAGCTGCTGTATAAGTCGAAAAATAAGGATACATAAAGTACAGACAGAATAGGAATAAAAGAGGGTGAATAATGACGTAGTAAATAATAATAATATAATAATAATAATAATAATAATAATAGTAATAATAATAATAATTGAATCATTTTAATGTTCGTCGAAGCAAGAGAATTAGTTTCCATGATCATAGACAGTCCAGTTCATTAATTGCGTGTGGGCTGCGATACTGTCCGGGTGCCCAGACTGAAGCAGGTGGTTATCCTAGGGGGCCACACCCCGAGCCTTTGACCTAATGCTCTAACTCACAAGGCAGTGGAGCATCGTCCCATGGTAGCCGGTGACCGAAGATCGGTTCATACGCCATTTGTTCCCTCAGGATATTGGAGCCCATGTGCACCATTGGTTTGGGATCCGGTTAAAGCGCAGGACATTTGCTTTTCGTCCTCTCATTTTTGTAAAGAACATCATCGCCACGAGAAGGCAGTGAGTAGGACTTCCCTGGCAGAGGCTGTATACGCGTGACCGTGTAAGAGTATTTCAAGAGGGCGAGCCCACCCCACTCTCGGTCATACCAGGGCATTTGCTTAATAAAACTGAATGAATAACACCTTTTTGAAGAAAAATTATAGAATATCATCATTGTTTTGCTCTTCTAACATTTTTTTCTTAACTTCAGTCAATCAATCCAAATTCATTGAATCCTCGGTTATGTGATATCAATTCTTCTCATCCATTATTAATTAATTTTCGTCATTGGCTTAGTACATTCGATTTGAATAAAGCTGTTTGTATAGCAAGCCTAGATCATTTGGAATTAAAATGTTTTTCTGAGCCAATTATCATACCAAATACAACTGTAAGTTTATTTAATAGATTTCGATCCAGTTATGTTATTAAATCACTTTTGGGGGGATTTGCATGAACTAGGAGAATTATTTAATAAATTTCTGTTTTATATAGAATTTGTTAATATTTCCATAACGATTTGTTTTTCATTATGTTCTTCAGACATGGCATTTGAGTGTGAATTAATTGTCGAATTTTGTACTCAGCGGAATAGAGATCAAACACTAGTATTACTACCTAGCTGCTCAAACCGAATTAAATAGAAATGAATTCAAACATCCAACCTACTTTTTGAATGACGAGTAGATTCATCGCTTTACACATTCAGCATATGATAATTAAATTAAAGATTAGCACTTTTACAAATAAGCTTATTATTCCAATAGGATTCGCAATACACGACACATTCTTTTAGGTAGTTCATAATTTATCTTGATTACTAGATAATAATTATAAGAATACTATATTTCAAAATACAAAGTTGTAGGTATAAGGAAAGAAAGGAATTCATTCAGTGGAAATCAAGAATGTAAATTATTCAACTGAAGAAAAACGTCATCAATAACGACTAAAAACAATTTATTTAACCTACCTTGAATTCAGTCATCTGAACATAGAATTAATGATTGAAAAGCGAATACCTTGTTTACTTGTTGTTCTGACATTATATTTGTTTTATTTACTTGGTGAAGGTAATTTTAAAAAGAATTAGATGTAATAATATACCAAAAATAGTCGATAATTGCCATACAGCACTAATTCACAACTGAATAGCTAGAAATAATAACTCATATTGTGTTTTTATACGTGAAAAATTAATTTTCATAGTGTTAACGAGATACAGTCGTCATAAAAGTAAGTTTTACAATATAGTAAACTCATTTTCTATCAAGAAATCTCAATTCTTTGTTTTTCTTTCTTGTGACTATTCTAGTAGACTAAAACCTGTAGGACGATAAGTTGATCCTCATTGGATAATGAAACTATCGATGCATCAAATTGTTCTTATGACCGAATTTGCGTTAACATCGATGGAAAATATAAAAAAAATGATCTTAAAGACTGACTAATAGTTTAGCATTAACTTAAAATAGGTTTTTCAACTACTGTTTTTTTCAACAATATGAAACAGTTATAGATTTGATAAAAACATGAAATGTATTTGTCATATGTCATTGTGTAACAATAGTATGTATGGCTGTTGAATGTGATGTGTTGGCGGTAATGTTTACCTATTTCAGAGTTTTTGTTATCATGAGTTTGTATTAAAATTCAGAATTTGATAACTGAGAAATTATGCCTACTTTAAAAATTCCATAGTGTTACTAAAAATGACAGTGTACGTGGTATATGGTTTGTTAAAAAATTCTATTTCTACTGGCTTTTTTAAATGCCATTCTTCCCATAATTCTGTAAGTTACTCTCCATCCATCTTTTAGAACGTTCAAAGAATAATAGGTGTTTGTAAATTGTTCCTAAATAGCATTTTCAAAAGTCTGGCGATTATGATTGAAATTAGTTCTCTATGTTTACTACCTCTAGTAATTACTGTTACCGGATTTACGTGATGTTGTATAGAAAATTTTGTCATGTACAAAGTAGTCGTATTGTTTTTGAATTTTATAACAGTCCATATACTTTATCAAATTGGTGCTTAGTTTTTATGCCATATGATCCTATCCTGTGTCTATCTAAAGAGCAGTTCTATTATTTCAAAATACATATAAACTAATTATAAACTCCGAACTCATGAAGTATCTGTAGAAGTTAACAGTGATTTACGTGCGAAAGGGAATTTTTCTTACATTAGTTGTATAAAGATTAATTACAGCATATGATAGCGTAAATGACCGCTGTTAGCTGCGTCTAAAGTCAATTCTAACTACCAGTAATTGAACGGAGACTAAGAGCACAAAAATATGGAAGTTGTTGCTTTTAAAACAAGATATAAAAACTGCATATAAGCTAAAACCAATTGTTACAAAAGTTACAAAAACTTAACCGCAACAATGCATGAACTGAACATTACTAGTTCATGTAAATACACGACAATATTACAAGAAATCATCTCAAGTTATTGAGACAGTTTACTCAATATTTATAAGTAGTATTGAGTAATACACAAGGAAGTTGAATAGGAGGAGATTAAGGACAATGTGTAAAAGAACTTGACAATTATTTTGATGCTGCAATCAGTTAGTTTCCATTACCATATATACATCTTAAACAGACTTTCTCGTTATGTCCTTTTTTTCACGAATTTTATTAAATTTGAACTGTATCTAAATGTAAAATATCAAAGGAACATATGGTTCTATTTAAGACTCAGCTGGATGTTAGCAAGCAAGTTAGCGGTTACCTGAATACATTAGTTATCGGGTTCAAATCCAAGTTGAAGCATTAGCATTTGGATCTAGTACACCCAATTTCACGAGTCCCAAATAGGACAAAACGAGCATCGCAGATTTTACTGTGAGGTACTCATTTAAAATTTTAGAAACGCGTATATCTATTGCCAAATAACTACATCCTGCCTTCATATCACTATTGGAATAATTAACTCCATCCCTCTCCTCATTATGTTAATTTCCCCTTATTGTACTATTCCAGTGTAACAACTGGGACTACAATGTATTCATGTCAAGACTTGTATTGTCTATGACTAATTGATTCACAACATAAAATAAGTATATACTGATGTGGGTTTTTAAGTCTTCTAATTTGTTATTAATTATTTTTCAAAGAGTTTCCATCAATCAACTTATATCAGTTAAAAATAACTTATAATCATAATACTTTTTGTCGCTTTATTTCTCTTAATCATTTTAGGATAATAGTAAAGTAGTAGTAGTAGTAGTCATATTCACCGTAGTAAGCCTTCATTTATCTGTCAAAATTCTTCAATCCCTACTATTACTAATCGATTCGATATGCGTATTACAAATAACCTATTGAAAATTAACACATGTGCTGATATTTTAGTCATTTACATAAATTCGTTGAATTACTAACAATATATGATATGAATAATTGTAATACAACTACTCCTTCACCAACAATGCATTCATCACCAATCCATGTAAAAAATACATCATCATTAAAACTAGATCCAACATTATGTCCACAATTTCATGCATCAAGTCCAATTCCATCTGGTTTAGTTTACTCGGTATGTTTCTCTTTTTTTCTACTTGCTATTTATAAATTAGACGTAAATTTTTTGCCCAGTTTATCTAGTTAGTTTGTTGGATACTTAAAAGATCAAACTGTGACACTTAATTCTGAAATTAATTTTCAAAGTTGATCTAAACCAATTTCCTTAGTTGTATGAATTTGATTTTGTTAGACATGCAAAGTATCGTACACTAATCTTGGTAAATCACAATATACATACTATTTATGTAGTATCCGGCAGTGTTGAGAAAGAATTTCCAAATCATGAGGAAAATTCTTCTTGGTATCTATTCTGTTCAAAAATCTCACGAACTTTTAGTGTTTAAGAAATTGGGATTGCTTAGCGTTACACAACAATAAATTGAGTTAATTCGTTTCTGTCTTATTCATTTAAATGACTTCTTTGTATCAAGATAACTAATATCGTTTTAATCGTGATTTCGTAATATCAATGTTTTTTTCTAAGTAAACAGACACAATATTTATCAATTTGAGTTTTTGGATTTTTTTTCATCTATACTTACTAAACATTCGAATATGAGAGCGTTTGCTTACGAAATATAGTTTTAATAGAAGTTAAGAAATAGGATAAAAGTGTATTTTGTCGCCCCATAATGTTATTAAGAAGAAAAAAGGGATTGGAAGTAAAATCCCGTCCATCTACTCTTAATAAGTTGTTTATCAGATTTGTTTCGACACTGATATCCCATAGAATACTATTCCAAACATAGACCAGCTTATCAAGTGTCTTTCTGATGAGACGACCCAGCTTTGTTACCAAAATAAAAGTCAACAATAAGTAGTATTGTAACTGGCACAGTAATAGAGAAGTTTGTAGTGATAAGTGAGAGCATGCTTTTATTGAACAAATAAAATGTTTGTATTTTATTTTGAATAGTGGATAATAGTGAAATTCAAGATAGAGGTTTTGTTTTAAAATTCGTCAAATGAGTTCTCTTTCATTCCAATGATGATCCATCTTGTAATTAAAAATCCAAAGAAATATAAACCCTTGCAATAAGTTGTATATATGCTTGTGGTATTTTTAATATAATACGGTAATCTATGAACTATAATCGTTAAACGCGTGAAGTATCATTCATCAAAGTCTATTCTCATTTGCTGTCTTTATTTTAATAATACAACTATAAGTAATCTTACACCGATATATATAAAGTGATCGATTTGCGTTTATATTACTGTCATTATTCTTTCAGAATCCTTTTCGAAATATACTCGATGATAATCAATGTAAGAGTGGTTCAGTTAGTAGCCTTGATCTTATACAAGATGCAATTTCTGATGTAGATTCTGTGAGTGATCCATTTTCTGTTTTATTTTTGTTTTAGTTTTTCTCTCAGTCAACAATATTGTAGATCAGATTGTTACTGTTTTTTTATCAGAATAATCTTAAATATATATTTCTAAAATTAAATTCTCGTATCAATACAACACATTAACAGATGAGAATTAAAATATTCACGTATCCATTTAATTCTCTAGTACGTTGAAATATCTGGCAGTTAAATTATTTTTCATCTAAGAATTGGTTATCACTATAGGTCTAATTGTTGTTTCTTCATTTAACTGTCATTTTGTTTACTGTATGTAGCTGTTTAATTTGGCTATGATCTATAATCCATGTACAGTCAGACAAAAGTGTACGTTAAAGTTGTCATATCAAATCAGTAGGACATGATTAAAATAACAAGATAAGTGGTAAAAGACATCGATATAATCTAATAGCAATAATACTGAGGAAGATTTAGAATATAGTTCGAAAAGATGGAACGAGAAAGCTCATTTGAAAGCATACTAGAACTGAAGGTCTAATGAAATGTAAACAGTGAATGTACCTATATCATTCTGAGCTCTAACATTTAATTATTTATTGATGATAAAGTATCTGTTTACTTTTGAGATAGCATCTGTACAAATAGTTAGTAGAAAAAGTATGGACTTTTAAATCAACCCATTTAATATACTGATAAGTATATGTATTCTGAAAATAATAATTACAGAACGCACAGCAGTTTACAGGCTTCATAAAGATAGTAATATTAAATGTATATGAATATGGAGGATCCACCTAGAGGAGTTGGATAACCCCGATTCCATGCCAATGGTGCACATGGGCTCCGGGATCCTAAGAAAACAAATGGCGTGTGAACTCATTGTTGGTCACCGGCTAACGTTGCTCCACTGCCTTATGGATTAGACCTTCAGGTTAAAGACTCGGGAAGTGGCCCTCTAAGAAAACCACGTGCTTCTGTTTGGGTGCCCGGGAGTATTCCAGCCCTCACACAAATCGGATGATTTGTGTGGCGCATATATATATATATATATGGTGCGTCGTTGTACCAATGTTTATGTGTTGAAATAAATAGATAATGTGACATTAAATTATTTGAAGTGACCTAGTTACCAAAGTCGGTGTTAGTGTCAAGTATCTGCAGGTAAGAAGGTTTAACTAGTGCGCTCAGTAGTAAAAACGATTAAACACTTAAAAACTCTATGATCTTAATTACGGAACGGAATATACTTACAAGCGCAGGCTTTTTTAAATCATTTTAATTGGAGAAGTAAGCATTCATGCGGCGAAAAAATAGTTGAGAGTGATAATACTTGACATTAACGTTTAGCAATTAATATCTTATATATATATCATTGTAATTCTCTGACATACCATTTATAGCTCAATCAGTCAGTAATAACGTAGAACTTCGTATGTACGTACATCGGTTCGAGTTGCCACACCACATTACAACAGAGATACAGTTGTCCATTCAAATCCCGTAGTGGTAGAGGTGGTAAGAGTATAAGCAGTAATCGGAAAGATTAGGGTTTGAAGATGTTATTCAAGGAGTTTAATACAGTGTAATAAATTTGGAAAGAGGAAAAAAGGGACATGAAGCATTCAAAAGATTAGAATTTTGGAGAACACAAAGCGTGGATGCACCTGCGCCATTGCAAACGATTTTGAGCCATGTCATTCAGGGTCTCTAACCATCGGTTGCTATCATCTCGCGGATCCCAGCCAGGTAGTCTACACCTACCAATATGACTCAGTTCACTTGTCAGTGACTTCATGGACTTGTGCCATGTTTTGGTTTGGCCGTCTTTAGCTTTCTTCCAACCTACTCCTATACCACTGAACATCGCACGTCGAGGTAGTCGGTCGTTGGGCATACGTACACGTGTCCCAGCCATCTCAACTGATGAATTTTCACTACTTCATCAATTGATTAGCCATCCCCACCTAGTACCCGTTTCCTAACAACTGCATTACTTACTCGATGGTCCCAGGATATACGAGCAATGTTTCGAAGACACTTATAATCAAATACTAGTAACCTATGAATATCCTCTACTCTTACCGGTCATGTTTCACTGTCATAAAGTGGAACAGAACGAACTCTACTGTGCCGTAAACCCGTCCTTTGGTTAGTAGACGGATATCTCGCCCACGCCATAAATGACGCAAGTTGGCAAAAGCTAGTCGAGCCTTCTGTATCCGTGCTGAGATTTCGTCACACACCAGACCACACGGGCTAATGATCGAGGATTTGGACAACACCTTGTTTTTCCACCCCTCAAAGATCTACGTTTATTTGTGCACATCTATTAACCTGTAATTATTTCATGATGACTAACGAAGTATTTGAAGTGTTATATCTCTTTAATGGTATTTATGTCGTTATGTATACTCATCAAACTGAACAAAACATCTTTCCGATGTAATAATGGTATATTTTTCTCTTGTCAGGTTCATTCATCACCATTTAAAATTGGTAATGTAAAAAGATCATCGGCTGTGGATATTCCTTCAAATATCTTACAAACTTCCAGTAAAAACAATGAATCATTAGCAAGAAAAGTAGAGAAGAAATTAGCTATTAACACTTGTCCAACTCCCCAACCATGTCGTACTGTACATAGTAGTAGTAAAAGGAAATCGAATACTTCAATAAATAATGATATAAAATCATGTAATTCTAGTCCTTGTCCCATTATTACTACTAATGATACTACGTCTATGAATGATAAAAGTAAAAATCAACTACACTTAGATCTATCTGATCAATTGAAATCTATGTCAAATCGCTCACACAATTCTGGACCATCAAGTCTTTCTGATGATTTCGTTTTCATTGATCCATCCACTATTCCAGCATTGAATTATACAACACCAAAAGAAAAAATTCGTTGTTTACTTCAACCAACTAAACAATTGTCGAGCCCCACTATCACTACTAATGACCAAACGTCATCACCATTGATAAGTTTTGATATTCATGAAAATTTCTACTCTCCACCTAGTTCCACTACAAATTTTAAAAATTATCGTGCTAACCGATGGAATCGTTTATTCATTGATCCTGTTAAAATTTATCCACGTCCTTTATTAGCTATAACATTGTATGATTTTTCATGTGAATGGAATATATATGGTGGCAATGATTTGTTACCTACTTCGTCAGCAGCAACAACTCCATTGTTAGGTAAAAGAATCCTGTATTTTCTCTTATATATGAGTATTTAGGTCGATTTGAACATGTTAACTTATTTTCAGATTATTAACATTAATTTATTTCAACGATGCTTATCTATTTAACCTATTCTAAACATATTACTAAATAAACGATACTTTCTAAGGTTATTCATTATCTGTGACTGCCACGGTACTCTAATTAAGGCAACGTGACAATTTATAATTTCTCTTTCTCTCATTTGCCGGTAGATACTTTTATATAATACCGGAAATCTTCTTTGTCCGTTTACAGGTTTATGTACTAGACTATGTAAATATAATAATTATGCCAAAGTTTAATAGATTTTAATCTGTAACATAAACGTATAAAGAAATTAAAACAAGGATAGTTTTTGCTATAGATTGCTATACAAATCGAAGTAAAACTAGCTTAGATTTTACTCAGTTTAAATGTGCACTAATTTGTCAATGTTGTATTGGACTAGTAAATTTGTGATTTGATTCTTATTAAAGTTATATTAATTCTAAGTTTGTTTTCTTTTCAAACTAATAGTTCATTACAAACCAAGAAAACCTAGTTATTCATTACGTCCTATTGTCAAATTCCTTAATAGTACGTCTATTTGATCTCACACATGATTAAAGGATAATATTCAAGTTTCCTACCAAGTCCTGTACCATTTAGTTGTTGAGTTCTTATCCAGTTATTTACATTCATTAAGTTAAATTGGTAATAATAATTCCTTTGAATTGGATTCCTCATTATCGTAATGTAAAGTCAGCCGATTTTTATGATTCATCTATGTTCTCCGGTCTGAACCCTGTTTTGCCTACCTTAGTTTTAACGATTGAGCAGTATTATTAGCTTTCACATATAAACTGGGGCTCGAAACTGAGTACACGAATCTTTACTTGGTTGTCAAGTTTCTTGAATAGCCTGAAGTTTAAGCTTATTAACCCTATCGGTTTCTACTCTATTTCCCACCTTCCAGTTAAATTTTCACTAGGTGTTTATCGTCGGAAATCTATGGGTCACAAGGAAATCATGTCCTTTTCTCCTTTGTCTTCGCTTATTATTAAACTTGATTGCATTTCTCATTTTTCAGGCAATATCCCATCCAATGAGATATCTATCCCTGTTCCACCACATAATAAATCCCCAGTGCTATCTTCCTCATCACCACTCAAAGATCCTACTCAAAAATTAATAACAACTCCATCTCGTTCAAATGAATCACTTCTAACTAATAAAAATGCTACAAATATACGATCTTGTGGGAACATTTCACCTAATCAAATGTTAAAATCCTGTCCTAAACCTGGCTATCGTTTTCGTCATGGTCAACCGCTTATTAATAAACCAAGTAGTAGTGGTAGTGTTGGTACCAGTGGTCCTGTTCGTACGCATTCGAATGATTCACGTTCGGAAAATATTTCGTTACAATCGCCCAAGGATTCAAAAGGTATCCGTTCTCGTTTAACATTGTATTCACAAGGTGGCCCAGGACGTCAGCTTGATAATGTAAGTTTTACTTCTTTTCAAATATACAAAAGTTGATATCCATTTTTAGTAAATAACGTTAATTCTGTTAACTTATTCTTGAGAGCCTAGAAAAATTTCGTCTAATCAGCACTCAATGGAAGCTCTTCAAAAGCTCCTAGCAAAACAACTTTCATCTCCTGTGGTGTAGGCGAGATGTAGCTCTGCCAACCAAAGGATACGTATACTACACACAGTCTGCTCTGTTTTAGTTAGTGATTTTAAAATGTGTCCTTTAAGAGCAAAGGATATTCGTAGACTACTAGTACTTGACCATGATACCTTCTCATAATCAATGGTTATTGATTCTGGGTGACATGGCTCACAATCGATCACAATGACGTCGGTGTATACAACCTTTATCTGCCCTTAAACCGTGGGATTAAAATTGCTTTATACCTTTCTTTCTACGAACTAATTCTTTCTTCCTGTATTATATCTTTGCACACAATCTTCCTTTTATATATTACTACCATTGAAGTAACTACGTCTGTGAACTTAGTGTTGATCTTGTGCTGTTGAGGTGTGACAACTTGGACCGATGCATATATGTACCTGGTCCTACTTTTTAGCTGATTGACTGATATCTTCGAATCTAAAATGGCCAATACTGAGGTTGGACGCAGAATATTGGACAAAGATTGCAACTGGGTTGATGAGGTAGTGAATTCTCATTGTTCGAAATGTATTGCGCTAATATGTCAGTCAGTCAGTCAGTCAGCTACAACGTAGGACCAGGCACATGTATGCATCGGCCCAGGTTGCCATACCTCATTAGCACAGCAAGATGAACACTGGATTCATAGGAGTGGTTAGGTCAAAGGTGGTAATATATAGGAGAAAGATTGCAATAAGGATATAGTATAGGAAGAAAGAATTAGTTCGTAAAAAGAAAGATGTGAAGTGATCTTAATCTCTTAGTTTAAGAGAAGACAGAGAGTGTATACACCGACGCCATTGTGATCGATTCTGAGCCATGTCACCAAGGGTCTCCAACCATTGGTTACGAAAGTCACGCGGACCCCAACCAAGTAGTCTGCATCTACCAACATGGCTCAGACTAGAAGTTAGTGACTTCAGGCACTGATGCCACGTTTTGGTTTGGCCGCCCCTAACTTTCTTCCAACCATCCCCTACACCGGTTAGCATTGCACGTCGCGGTAATCGGTGTTCAGGCATACGTAATACGTGGCCCAACCATCTCAGTCGATGAAGATTCATAACCTCATCAACTGATTTACCATCATTCCCTAATACCCTGCGTCTAACCTCACTATTACTTACCCGGTGATCCCAGCAGATGCCAGCAATATTTCTAAGGCATCTGTGGTCAAATACTAGTAGCTTACGGGTGTCTTCTACTCTTAATGGCCATGTTTCGCTGCCGTAAATTAAAACAGAACGGACTGCCGCGCAGTATACTCGTCCTTTTATTGATAGACGGATATCTCGCCTCCGCCAAAGGTGACGTAAGTTGGCAAAAGCCAAACGAGCTTTACGAATCCGTGCTGAGATTTCGTCAGACACCAACCCATTAGGGCTGATCAGACTTCCAAGATAAGTGAAGTTGTCAACACGTTCGACTATTTCACTCCCTATCCTTAGTTCAGGTGTTGACACAGATCAGTCCTGAAGCAACAACTTGCATTTAGAGGGAGAGAAGCGCATCCCAAACATTCTGGCATTGTTGCTTAGTGCTACCAGAAGACTCTGCATTTTGTCAGCGTCTTCACCAAACAGGACTATGTCATCTGCATATTCTAAGTCGATAAGTGGACCTCCTGGAAGGAGATCAATACCCGAGAATTCAGTCGACGAGAGTGTTATTTCCATCAATAGGTCTATGATGAAGTTAAACAAAAATATGTCACATAGTTCTGATAATCTTCGTCTTATTACATTATCGGAATTCTCACTAATTAATTTTTTCGGAAAATGTATTTGTATCCTAATCACCCCTGCATCAACTCACAAAGTTTTCTGGCGTACTAGTGGGTTGGAAGAAAGCCAGGGACGATCAAACCAAGACTTGGCATCAGTCCATGAACCCATAGACTGTTAAACTGAGTTTTGTAGATAGGTGTAAACTACCTGTTTTGTGTCAGCATGTTTATCGTAACCAATAGCGGAGACATTGGACTGCTGATCTGGACTTTTTTCCATATTTTGCAATATGAAAATGGTTTCTTGCTGTTTATCCACTGACATGATAATCTAAATAAAATCCACAAACAGTATCAAGTTTATTCTACGTGCAGTTTTTAATGTACTATCTTCATTTGGTAGGACTGGAATTCACAATGATAACACAATTTGCTCGGTCCTTTTGTGAGAACTCTCGGAAAGTTTATTTTTATCTTTAATCATTTCGGTATTCCTACTAAGAATTTAAATTCATTAATCAATAAGATATAACAGATACTCATTTTTGTTCCACTGTGTTTAACATTTTTGCCAAGTTCTCTGTTATATCTGTCTGTCTTTTCAGTTCGTTAAGTTATCGACATTTGAGTAAGATTTGATATTCATGAAACTTATAGTTGTTATCCTGAAATAATGTAACTATTTCTGTACTGGTCAAAGTTGAGAATCATTGTACATTAATTAAACACACACATTTTGTTGGTATGTATTGAAATATAGGCCTCAAAACAGATATCTTGATCATTAAATGAACTATAACGTCGTTTTCGATAGTTTACAGACTTTTTGGTAACATTGTGTTATTCTTCCAGTGAACGATTACGTTCACAACACCTTAGATTTGCCACTTATTTATTTATTTAAACACATAAACATTGGTACAACGACGCACCATATATATATATATATATATATATATATATATATATATATATATATATATATATATATATGCGCCACACAAATCATCCGATTTGTGTGAGGGCTGGAATACTCCCGGGCACCCAAACAGAAGCACGTGGTTTTCTTAGAGGGCCACTTCCCGAGTCTTTAACCTGAAGGTCTAATCCATAAGGCAGTGGAGCAACGTTAGCCGGTGACCAACAATGAGTTCACACGCCATTTGTTTTCTTAGGATCCGGAGCCCATGTGCACCATTGGCATGGAATCGGGGTTATCCAACTCCTCTAGGTGGATCCTCCATATCAACATACTAGTTGAAAGTATTCGCTCTCAGTTCAACTATCTTGGATAAAAATTAGTATTTAGTCAGTCACTCACACAACTCAACTTATTTGCATTTAAATTTCAATGTACAATCCTATTTATCTTCCTTTGATCAAATTTACATAATTTTGTCTTTTTTTGTTATTTCTTCGAAGAACTCACATCTATAATCTTTCTATCTTGTTTGTTGTTAATTTTAAGGACGCATTTTTCTCGTTTTTATTCAGTAAATAAACCGACCAGTTTGTGTTGATAAATGAGCTACATGAACAGATGCCTTGATATCGTCTGTATTTACAGGTTTTATTTTAAATCTCAGCGAGAAACGGACCTAAGTAGAAGTAATGTCGAAGTACTTTTTCAAGTGGCTTATACGCAAACAGAGGCGGTTCAATTCAATCTTGAACACGAGCGCTCACAGATGATAATAAATACCACACCCCTCTGAACAAGTTATTGGCTATCATGACTCAGTAGTTCATCGGATAACAATCTAGAATCGGTGGTCACTAAGAATAAATCACACTAGGGAAATCAGCATTAAGATTTAGGTACATCTGATTGACACAAGTGGTAAGTTGAACAAATTATACATTCTACTGTTAGTCACTCGTCGAAATATACTTTTCTTTCTGTATTGAACTGAAACATTATAATATTTTTTGTGATCTACTAGTGATACACATTGTAACATATCTCGTCTTATCAATCCTTTCATAGTGTATTTCATTCAATATCTCAAAATTATACTTTCGACAAGCGAAGTTCCCAGCTCGTATGAAAAAATCAATTCATCAGCATCAAGGACAACAACTGAATTCATCACATAATTTATTCAGTCTAACTGTAGATCCATTTCAACGTTTAATTATTCATATCCCATCTGTTGTAATAGTTGATCATGTTATTAGTTCAAATGTCAATCAATTACTTTACTCATATAATCGAAACTATTCACCAAGTATCAATTTACTACCGCATAATTTAGATACACCAATGTTACGTATGGTTGTTGTCTGTTGGCCAGTTATACCAAGTCATTTAGAACAGGATAATATTTCATTATTATCTCAACAACAAATAGTAGAAAAAGCAAAGTTGACAATGAAAAATTTGTAAGAAAAGGAGAAAATGTTAACACTGATGATAATAGTGATACAGAAGATGAAGACAATGTATCAAATGATTGTTCAATGAATATAACACAATTAAAATCCATGAAAATTTCGATTATATTTATTTACCACAACCTAACAATCTTGAAGTGGAAATTAAACTATCTATTCAACCATTAAAAATTAATTTAGATCAAGTAAGTTTCTCTTGTGTTCTCAGAATGATTGGTTAATTTATTTAAAGTTTGTTCACCTGCCCCCTCCTCATCCACCCACTCCTAAACAATGAATCCTCTTTATTTTATGAGTTCCATTTATCTGTAAAAATAATTACTACACTAGTATCTGTCCTGTGTGAAACCCACTGAAGATAATAGAAGACGGTCGTGCAATGTCATCGATCGATCGAATTTAGACACTGACATCGTAGGATGTCCGGCTCGGTGGTTCAGAGATTGAGAGTTTGCGTATGAGACAGAAGGTCTTGAGTTCGATTTCTGCGTGCGAAGTTGTGGATGTGCATTGGAAAGGAGTTCCGTGATAGAATAAAATTGCCATCCAGTGCTCCCAGGTTTTCAATGGTGATGTCGCTAGATCAGTCCGTGATTTCAATAAATTCGACAATCTTCACAACGCCATACTGATAAGTCAATGTCATCGAAGATAAAACTCGATATGTTACCTACTGATAACAGAAGTAAATTATATGTATATATATAATAGAAAAGGAAGGATATAAAACTACTAAGCGAGACATGCAAGAGAAACAAACCAAGTATGAATTCGCACATCTGGGTGGTTGTATTGACGGACACTACAACTGTATTACTTCATAATTATCAGAAATGGTAAAAATTAAATACGAGAACGGTTGTTGGGTGACCTAATAATTATAGTTCATATTCTTGACACTTAAACCGTCAACAGATAAAAGAATATAATCATTTCTAATTTTTAAGAATTTCATCAATAGGCTGTAGTTCATTTTTTTGAGTTTCGTAGTGAGCTTTTTACGTAAACCCTCCGTAACTTTTTATTCATATTCTCCGAAGAAATGTTTGGCTTTCGTCTAAATCTCATTCAGCATTTCACTCTGAAGGTATTCATGTATGTTAGTGAATACATTAGGCATTGAGCTGTTACACTCAATTCTGACCATCAACACCTTGAATATCTGGGATGCCTTGATACAACATAACACTTTCATTGTGTTCTCATGTATGTTAACATCACTGTAAAATATCTATCTAATCCAAAGGCTGCAATTTCCTTTTTTAATCGTACAAAGTTTTCATATCTCTAATAAACTGAAAATGTATAGGTTATCAATTTAATTACTTTACTTACTTACGCCTGTTACTCCTAATGGAGCATAGGCCGCCGACCAGCATTCTCCAACCCACTCTGTCCTGGACCTTCCTTTCTAATTCCATCCAGTTCTTCATTTTTCTCATGTCTATCTCCATTTCCCGGCGTAATGCGTTCTTTGGTCTTCCTCTTTTCCTTTGGCCTTGAGGATTCCATGTGAGGGCTTGTCTTGTGACGCAGTTGGGTGCTTTCCTCAATGTGTGTCCTATCCACTTCCAGCGCTTCTTCCTAATTTCTTCCTCCGCTGGGATCCGGTTTGTTCTTTCCCACAGTTGGTTGTTGCTAATAGTGTCCGGCCAACGGATCCGAAGTATTTTGCGTAGACAACTGTTAATAAACAACTGTATCTTCTGGATGATGGCTTTCGTAGTTCTCCAGATTTCCGCCCCATACAGTAGAACCGTCTTGACATTTGTATTGAAAATCCTCACATTGGTGTTGGTTGACAGTTGCTTTGAGTTCCATATGTTCTTCAGTTGTAAATATGCTGCTCTTGCTTTACCGATCCGCGCTTTCACATCTGCATCAGACCCACCATGTTCATCAATGATGCTGCCCAAATATGTAAAGGTTTTTACATCTTCCAAATCTTCTCCGTCAATTGTAACTGGATTGGTGCATGCTGTGTTGTATCGGAGAATCTTGCTTTTTCCTTTGTGTATATTAAACCTGCTGCTCCTACCCTGGTCGTTTTCTCCTGCATTTGTTGTTGCGTTTGGAATAGAAGGGCCAGATCATCTGCGAAGTCTAGATCGTCCAGCTGCATCCTAGATGTCCACTATATCCCGCGTTTCCCTTCAGATGTTGACGTCTTCATGATCCAGTCGATCACCAGGAGAAAGAGAAGGGTGAGAGTAAGCAACCTTGCCTGACACTGGTCTTTACTTCGAGTGAGCTTGTCAACTGTCCTCCATGCACGATTTGCAGTTTAATCCATCATAGGATTATCAATTTAATACTCAATCGAATTTCGGCACATCATTCCTACATACTAATTCACAGTATTATAAAACCTCTGAAAAGATACAAAGATTTTGTGTGATATTTTGTAGAATATTTAAAGTAGCCAGATTCCTAAAGGGAAATTCGAGTTGTTTTCATCGAAACGATGTGAAAAACTTATTGTTGGTTGTCATTTTGATTTGTTTTCAAAACAATACAGTGTAACATTTTCTAGGTACTTAAAAGTAGTTGTTGTCTGGCATAAATGAGATAGTTTTTCATATGCGTACTTTTCTTTATTGGTCATGGAAAGTTTCATAACAATTGTTCACTGATTTCAGTCAGCTTGACATAATCACTAATTCCTTTTATGGAAGCTGTCTTATGGACACCTGTTTTGCATGTTGAACGAAATCTCTTTAAAGCTATTAAATGCTTGTGAAACTACTGTTTTTATGAATGGGGAATCATTATTTATGCTATGCACTATGGAGATTAGCGCTGAAAGATTTCAATAATGATTGGGCCATTGTCATTATCTACAATTACATTCATTTAGGTGAGCACTTTTATTGGTTTAACTTCCTCCCTTCCACTCTTATGATCTTCCCTAGTATACACTGCTGTTTTTATACGAATATCAAGAAAATTTCAAAAGGTTGCTCACTGCTTCTTCGAGAGAATCAGACAACTTTCAGATGGGACAATCTGTATCAAGCTTGGAGTTTAGATCTCCAACTCAAGTATGCACTCAATATGGCTTAGCTTCAAGTCCTAATATCAATCCAAGTAACTCAACACAGCCTCATTTAAAGCAATACAATGATAATGTTAATACAGTTCCTTTACCACAGAGTAATTTAGTTCGTCCAGTTTACTTGCCGATGGACCCTATCGAACATAATCAGCCTGTTTTATTTATAAGGTTAGTGTTTTTTTTTTGGAGGGGAGTTAAAATTTCAATTGTTACTTCTGATATTTACGTGCAGTTAACTGAAAATTTGTAACATCATTTTCGTACTAGCCTAAACCCTTCAAAAAAATGTGTATAGTTCTTTTGAAAATCGTAACCGTGTTCATATATAGTAAAACTTGGCTATATGACTAATGAATAACTCTCCATAAGACCAGTTGCCACATATTCTTCCAATATTGTTTGCCTCCATGCATCGGATATCAAATATAATTAAATAGAATAGACAAATTCATTTAATGATACCACAATTAGGTAGAAATAAGGCACAAAGTAACTCATATCTCATACACTAATGTTACTAAAATATCAATCAATAATATTTGCTCAATAAGCACAGCAAATCTAAACTCAGAAGTACTCATTAGCTTTTCTTACAGTGTGTGTGTATGTCTGATACTGTGAAAACAGTGTCTGTGCAATATATATAATGTTCCTTTATCATTTACCTTTAATTCAACTTTATTCATTTCACTAATTCCGTGCAGTTATAATCCTTAATGTAATAATGGATATCTCATAATCTCTGAAAATTGCATTACTTAGTAATCGTAAACCGATTCCTCTGTATTCATAACAAGATTTTGCATTGAATAAATGTTATTTTTGAACTTAAACCATTTCTTGTATAATTAAGAAGTTCAAAGAAAATAACCCTAATAAAAGTCTTCAATATTGGCGTTTAGTTTAATCATACATAGTGAATTTAAATGATGAAACAGTTTATGTCATGGATTTTTATCAATTAAATAACCATTGAAAACCACCAAGTACTGAATAAGCGTTTCATCATAGTTTAAGACTCTGAAACAATACCCATCAATAACCTCATTGTGGATTGAATTCAGATCACATGATGAGTACATAATTTTTCAAACATTCAGTGGAAATCTAATAATTCATATTCAACTTAGTTCACAAATTAACATGAGAATTATGTCAAATGTCTAATTAGTGTTATCTATTGCAATTATACTTTGAAACATATTATTAGGAACTATCCAATATTAGAATGGGGGCTTGTGGAGACCGTAGTGATTTTAATAGTTGAATTCATGATTCGATTTAAGCTAGACCTGAGTCCCACATGCGAGATTGTGGATGCGCACTGCTGAGGAGCCCCATACGAGGACGAAATGGTCATCCAGTGCTTCCAGGTTTTAAATGGTGGTCTGGTTTACATCGACTCATGAATTCAACAGTTAAAATTACCCAATAATCGTTAGTTATTCAACGGATTTTTCTTGATAAACTGTTATCTAAATAAATAACATTTTTCTGATTTTTTTCAAATTTCAGAAAATTCACTTTCTACCCTGACTTATCTGTTCACCTTGATTATCACGGAAGGCGTTTGGATTTGAGTGGGGTAAACAAGAGAAATCTGAATTCCTAATTATCATTATTATTATTATTATTATTATTATTATTATTATTAATCTGGTTGTAATCAGTAAAGATTGCTTTAGTAATAAAATCCTTCTTTCATTACCTTTTACTTATATCTTGTGACTTCATAAATGCAACTATTAGTTACAGCTTTTGTGTAAGATAATTGCTACCAATAGAATAGCTTACCAAAAGCTTATAAGTCAGCATTTAGCCTTGTTAGTTTGCTAATCATTCGGTAATTCTTTATACTATTGGTTATCAATTATGTAATCAAGAACTTTCTTCTGTTTATTTGAGTATTTTCGCTTTTAGAAGGTTTTATTTAGAATTTACACTTATCAGATTAACATTAAAATATGGTTATTTGAAAACTTTGAACATCATTATTCACTCTAGATCTTATCTACCTGTTCACATTGTTGAAAAATACTTCTTTATATAAGAATTATACTATTTGATTCCGTTCATTGAGTTGTATTAACTGTTTAAGAGGCATTATAAACTAGAGGAATCTAAACAGTTGCTTTTGTCTCAGCATCATACATCCTCAAAGTCCATTATGTCTAGAAGAACTATGTGTATGAAATATCTCGAAGAAATTAATTTTCTGATGAATCATGATTGGCTAATGAACGAAGATATACTGTCAACCCTACTTATTGTTTAAGAAATTATTTAGTGTTTTGAATTCCTTTCCGTTTGTTATTCTTCTCTGTGTTTCACTGTATAGGGACTGCTTGTAATTTGTATGAATGAATTGTTCCATCTCGTATAATTCGGTCCTTAGTCTTGGGTCAGATATTATATGAATTTGTGTATAAATATATCACGTGATCGTTCAATCTAGTAACCCGTTCACTTTGTTGTATTATATTGTGCCCAAATAGAAAATTCCTGTATTTTACATTATAGTAGAAACTGTTAAAATCGCCGGTTCCCATCTACATGTAATTTGTTATTGATACCGTTTATTAATTGATCTATATCAGATCAGTTTCAGAATGAACTTCGCATAGAATTCAGATATAGGCTACGATGTTTTACTTTATTTTTATTTTGTTTTTGATCAATCAAGAGTTTACATTATACACTGTATTATTTAACAGGGTTCATTTCATGGTTTACTTGCAATGCTTCTTCAATTAACGAATGCTGAATTCACAATTCCTCGACGTGTTTATCAACGTGGTTATCAAAGTTTCGATAGATTAATTGAAGAAGTTGTAGAAGATTTAAGTTCTATTATCTCAGCACAACTACCTCATGCTATTGTAACTAGTTTTGGTCCAATGCATGAAGTAACACAATTTCGTAAGTTACATTGAATTGATCGGCTATATTTTATTTCTCGTCTGAATAATATTTTGTATATGAAAATTAAGTAATAAACGTTATTTAAGTGGTACCTTTGTTGTCTACATTGTAATGATCACAAAAATAATTTATCATCGTTCTAGGATGACTGAATATTCATTCAAGCTATTTACAGTTTCAATTCTTACTGGATTCTTTCACTTCAGTGTTACTATGATTGCTTTCACTTTCATACTGATTGACTGACTATACTCTCTTTATTCTGATCTACATGTAAATCAGAACTAATAACCAATTCTTAGTTAAATTATTTAGAACAATTCTGACAGACTGTGATTAATGGTGAAGTATAATCGATTAATTGCTAACGAAACACAACCAGAGTATTTTTTCATTCGATGGAGTAAACTAAGAATCCTAACCAACCAACCCCCCTATCATAAAATAATCGAGTTGATATTTCTTGAAAAATTTATTGTTAAATGTGAATTTTAATTTCACCAAATACATAGAGATAAAATATGACATCGTTATGACTACTGTTCTAGTTACGTAATTAATTTGAAGAAACCAGATTTTCTACCCTGTTTAACTAATTACGATGATTGACGGATAAGATCATGTTTTGGTACAAATAAAACAGTTTAATCTTAACAATAACTGAATCATTTATGCATGACAAACAAATTAACCATCTAATTATTACATCATATTTCTCTTTTTCTAACATCCAATATATTTTCAGGAAATATATTGTCCTCCTATTACATAAGTTTTTGCATCATTACTATCTATTGCTTAAGATTAGTTGCAATCTGTCAGTCAAGAAATTCGATGTGACTAAGTTAACGAAGTGTGATGTGATCACAATAATGTAGTGGATTAAGCTTGGTAACAAGTGTTTGAAAGCTGGACACGCGAAGTAGTCTGTTATCTTTATTAGTAACTATCATTAATTATATAATAGCTGTGATACTGTCCGATCGCCCGAAACGTAGCACGTAGTTTCTTCAAAAGCCATATTCTCTAGGCGATGGAGAAGCGTCAAGTAATGCGATATCATGTTATTCAATAACCGTAGTAGGTTCAAATGCTATTCATCCCCTTAGGATTCTATAGCCCCTGTGTACAACTGGTTTAGAATAATGGCTCCCTAACTCTTCTAAGTGTTCTTTCCCCCATTGACCGGATGTAAGCGCCATATGTCTGCTCTCACTCTTTTGCTCTTATGAACTCTCATATTTTAAGGCTTCTTTGGATGAGATAAATGCGCTGCTGTATGAAAACATTTCAAGAGAGATGACTCTCCTCACCTTTAATGGGACTAATTCGTCTGGAGCATGTTCGAAAACACTTATTAAGAATTGTGAACCTTGTTTCCATTTTTCCCAGCGTTATAAATAACCTAGAAACTCATCCAACTGCAACTTGTATTTTTCATATGTATCCAATAAGAGATATGTTCACAGATATCTTCAGGTGTTAAGTTACACCTTCACAAGAATGAAACAGGCCGTCTCTTAACAAATATTATTAAGTTCTCAAATATTGGTCCATGACCGTTTGTTCATAACACAAGATCTAGATATATCTTACGGATAAATCTGACTTTTTCTTTATCATTCCAAGTATCTATTAAGTTTTTCATTGTTTCTTAAAGCTAATAGGTTATTCCATTGAAAGGCACTCTAATGTGATTTTTACGTCGTTATATGAACTTCTCTCAGCAATGTATCGATTACGCTAGATTTAGTTAACAAGGGTATTATTGCTGTTAAATCGTGCACTATTGGTTCTTCACATGTACTGTCGTAATAAACATCTAAATCTTATTCTTATATTTCAGTTCTCGGTTTATGGGATCTAGTCTATCAACCTGTTTGCAGCTTCTATGGGACGGCCGAATTACCTAATACATCAGTGGATTCTGGTCATGTTGGTACAGCTGTTTGTAAATTGGGTCTGTTTAAAAAACCTCATCAGCTTCGTAATGAAATTTGTCATAGGAGAGAATATACGCTTACAGATACATCTTGTGGTACCAATCGAAGCGGAATTATTCATGGTCTTAGAAGAGGCACACGATCATTTTCAACAAGTACTCTATGGGCTACCTTACAGTTGAGTATTCAAGGTATAAGAGCTCTCCAATCTATTGCAGAAGTGAGTTTCATATTGATTTAGTTTATTTTAAATTTGTGTGTACAATAATGAACATATAATTCCTGTTGTATATTTCGAAACTTAAATAGATTTCTAGTTCTGTTTTATTTATCGATGGATGTTTATGATTAAAAATATTAACTGACAAACGTCAAAATAATTTAACTATCTTACCGTGGCAATGAGAGGTTTAAATAAAGCCAGAACAAGTATTGATGCAGAATAATATGAATTTATTTTATTTGGAGGTTTTTCGTCAGCTGCTTACAACCAAATATGTATTAGGATTTAACATTGATCCTCTTAAATTATGTGAGCTCTTCAAATTCTATTCAACTATTACGTAATTCATCTTATCAGTTTTCAATTCCATGAATCCTTCATTACCTCTAAAATTATCTGTCTCTGAACTCCACTCAACTATTACACCACCCACCCTGAATTGTTTCCGTAATTTTAATATCAATTAACTTCTGACCTGTTCTTGCATATATATAGTTATTATTGATAGCCTGTCATTCCAATCCTTTACATTCACTTATATCAATTGTTTCATACTATTTCGTATCTTTATGTAAAATTCTAATACATATTTGGTTGTAAGCAGCTGATGAGAAACCTCCAAATAAAATGAATTCATATTATTCTGCATCAATATTTGTTCTGGCTTTATTTAAATTCATAAAGGAACTTATTGCATGAAATGAGAGGTTTATCAGACTTTTTTCCGTATACAAAGGTCATGTCGAAAGTTCGTAATAGCATTCGCTAAGTAAAAGTTGCGTTCTCTTTTTCTTAATTGTTTTAAAACGCTTTCGCTATATCCACGTATCTGTTGCATCCGGAAGAAGAATAAATGGTAACCGCTAAGAATTATTTATGGACTGATATTATGAGTATTCTTATTGTATAACTATTAAGTAACTATATTATATGTACATTCATATTCCTTTTATTATAAGATTCCGTCTAACCTATTGGCTACTATTATACGATTTACTATTATTGAGTTATTCCCAATTTATTAGTTACAGTCTCTCACAACCACAGCCACTTTTTGGCCTGATCTTGTATAATTGTTATTTTCTATCTTATGGTACGATGCGATCTGGTTTGTTTATATATAAACCCAGTATGTCTGAAATATATGCTTCGTCTAACGGAGGCTGATATTGATGTTCTGGACTGGACCAGCTGGGTTAGGAGAGAAGCTACTATCTCAGAGGACCATTAAGAACTCTAGGCTACTCATACAAGTTTATGCGTCATCGATCCATTTATTAAGTTGGTGTTTTTTAATTGGCGATCGTACTACATAACATATTACAAGGCCATACAGCCATAACAGTATCCACTATCCGCTAAATGTCTGGTGGTCTCACTTATGCTTAGGTGTGTGTCAGAAAATGCTGGATTGGTAGTCATGTGCTGAAACTCGGGTCCAGGGTTTCCTATCGACTACTTCCAACCACCATCTAAACTACAAATATCCTCTACTCTTACTGGCCATGTTTCACTGCCATAAAGTAGGACGGAACAAACTGCTGCACAGTAAACTCGTCCTTTGGTTGGTAGACGGATATCTCGCCTACACCATAAATGACGCAAGTTGGCAAAAGCTAGTCGATCCTTCTGTATCCGTGCTGAGATTTCGCCACACACCTGACCACAAGGGCTGATGAGACTTCCCAGATAAGTGAAGCGGTCGACACGCTCAACTACTTCACTCTATCATTAGTTCGGGTGTCGATGCCACTCAGTCCTGAAGTAACATTTTGCATTTCGAGGGGGGATCGCATCCCGAACATGCTTGCATTGTTGCTTAGGATGGTCAGAAGACTTCATTTTGTCAGCGTCTTCACCAAATAGAACTATGTCATCAGCATATTCCAAGTCAACAAGTGAACCTCCCGGTGGAAGTTCAACCCTTGGAAATTTAAATGAGGAAAGTGTCATCTCTAAAAGCACGTCTACGATAAAGTTAAACAAAAATTGAGAGAGTAGACAGCCCTGATGAACACCATTTGAGGTAATCGATTCTGATGACAGTTCGCCGTAAGCTCTCACTCGACCAGTTGTGTTCGAGTAGAGAGCCTTTACAAGGTTAATGTACTTCTTTGGTACTCCTTTCAGTGACAAACACTGCCATAAAACCTCACGATCAACAGAGTCAAATGCTGCCTTAAGGTCGAGAAATACTACGATTGTGGGGCGTCTGAATGTGTGTCTATGTTCTAGGAACCTGACGTAGTGTGAATATCTGGTCTATACAACCACGTTCAAGTCGAAAACCAGCCTGGTTTTCTCTAGTCTGCTCTTCACGAGCTTTAGTTAGGCGTCGAAGTATTATTGAAGCTAATATTTTAGACACTATATTAGTCAAACTGATTCCTCTGTGACTGTCACAAGAGGACTTTTGTCCTTTCTTATAGACTGGCACAATCAGTGATTGAGACCAGTCAGATGGGATTATGTCCAGTTCCCAAATTCTACCTAAGACTTCAGTTAATCTCACTACTAATACTGGACCACCATATTTAAAAATCTCAGGAGTAAACCTGTCAGGGCCTGCTGCTCTCCCACGCTTCAGATTTCTCCTAGCTTTTTCAACTTCGTAAAGAGTCGGAGGACCTACATAAAATTGCCATTCAGGTTGACTAGATGTCGTGGGAAACTGAGGTGTGGCTGAAGGCCAGTTAAACTGATCCCCAAACTTTCTGCCCATCGATCCAATCTCCTGGATTGAGAATGTATAATATGTCCATCTTTCTCTGAGATTGTTTCGCTAACAGTCGGTTTCCTAATACCGGTTTCCTTAACAAGTCTGAACAATTGTCTGCTGTTACCTATTGCCGCTGCCTTTTCCATTTCTTTTGCTTTCGCTACCCACCACTGTTCGCGATCATTGTGCAGGCTTCTTGTCTGCTTGTGCTTAAGCTGACTCCGCTCTTCGTTATTTTCAGATCCAGATGGAATGAGTTTTCGAGCATCTATCAGTGCGGTAGATGCTGCCGAGACCCAGTGTTTCTCCCTAACCTTGTGGTTTATCGTACTAGCTGATATCACTGCTGTTTCCACAGCTTTTCGGATATCATTCCATGTTGCCTTGGGGTGGGCATCACATACATGGCTGTCTAACTGTTTTTCTAGTTGTTCCTGAAATATACTCTTAGCTTGACTATCATTAAGTAGGGCCCTAAGATGTTTCCTTGCAGCGTCTTTCCTACGTCCAGTAAGACGCAGGCAGATACGCGCTCGTGCTAGAGAATGATCTGGATCTAAGCATGTGTTCCAGAATGAGCGACAGTCTTCTATCGAGCCCTTCCATCGGTGTCTGGTAGCGATGTGATCTATTTGGCTCCAACGTTGGGACGAATTAGGGGGTCGCCAATTCAAAAGATATTTTTCCTTATGCTTGAAGTTGGTATTTGCTAGAAACAGGCGGTTATCTGAGCATAGCTGCAACAGACAGTCGCCATTATCTGTTCGTTGAGCCACGACACCATAAGATCCACTTAGATGTCTTTCCCTTTCGCTTAGTTTACCGACATCGGCATTAAAGTCACCAGCCACTACTACTACATCAGAGCGCCTAGCTTTTCGGAGAAGGTCGGAGAGCTTTCTGTAAAACTCATCTTTTATATCATCTGAGCTGCAGTCAGTGGGGAAGTAGGCAGAGACGACGAAGAGTGTCCCTATCTTTCCTAGTCCTTATTGTTCCGTTTAGTCGGATAGCGCACAAACGACTGTCTACTGGGATCCAGCCTAAGAGAGCTAGTTCTGCCCTAGGACTCAATGCTATACTTACGCCGGCTAGGCACGGGAAGAAGAATCAGGGCTTCCAGATACACGAAGTGTGAATCGAGTTGGTCCTTTATTTTAACATGGTGAGGTCAAATGAATGACGCTACTCGGATCCTGTATGCGCTTTTCGGAGACGCAGCACACATCGATGGCGCGGGATTCTAAAGTCCTAGCTAAGGAAGCCTGTTGTCCTATTTGGCATTGTGTTCGAACGTTGAAAGCTCCTACATGTAGTTTAGAGTGTGGTTTCAGGAGACCAGGAATAGCGTTCCGCGTACTCGAATCGTTTGCCCTAGCGGTGCGAGGTGATAAAAGGACGTGAGAAGGGTTATTCGGGGAGATAAAAGTGGTATTAAGAGAAGTAGGAAGGATTTGAATGTGACCAAATTGGTCTCGTGTGCTGTTACGGGTATGAGGGCTGGTGTCACTTCCTGGCTGCCCACACTGTGGAAGGGTATTTCTTGAGGAACCTGAAAAGGAAGTCGGATTAATGTTGGCCTTATCGACCTGGGAGCGTGACCGCAGAGCCCAAGAGACAACTGCTTGAGGCCGGTTGCGCACGGCTTTTTCATGGGAGGTTTTTAATGTGTTAGCTCCGTACTTCAAAGGGTCTTACCGCCGGAGACGGAAATCCGTGAGGTAAGGAGAGGTGTGACAATTTTAGGGTCAACCTTTTCTAACCCCTTCCTTCCTTGTGAGAAGACAGCATTGCTGCAGATGCCGGTTGTCCGAGGGGAACACCTTACTGCTGTCACACCTCTCTACAGTTAGCAGTACGACTTCGCCCTCAGACCTTGAGTTGCTGCATTTAGTCTTACCGTTCTCCAATCGACCTGCCTGGCATGGTTGAACCTACAGGAACATATGTCCCAGCCAATATAGCTCGGTTGGGTCATCACGATAGGCAAGCCCGACCACCGCGTCAAGGTAGCAGCTACGGTCGGGACATTTTCCCCTACTTCACGATAAATTTCTTCAGATATCCATTTTAATAAGATACTCATGAATGTATGCTATTTCTTCTTGTATTTTATAGCTGAACGCAATCTAGCCCTGTTAAATACGGTTTTAACCAAACAACTTTTGTAACTAACAGGATAAAAGCTATAACTTGAGCAATGTTCCGTCGATATTTCTTTCCTGGTAATAATCAAGAATTGAGTAAGATTAGTTTACCCGTGTGTTTTTACATTCAGAACATGGCCAATGAATGAATAACTAAGCATTCGATTTTATCTCGAAAGTACAAGTTTCAAATTATAATCGATATCATTGGAAAAGATACAATCAATATTTATCTTGGTGTAAATTAGTAACATCACATTTTTTTATTTTCTAGTTGATTCGTACCTTCTAAATACTTTTGCTGTTTGTTTATTAGCGATCAATATTGAATAGGAATTAGTTACGTGTCTTTTACACCATAATAAATTATATATTTGTTATTTTCTTTTCATAATTTAGACGGCTTACGATTTAGTTACACCAGGACCAGCTTTACGTAGTCGACGATTATATTTAAGACAACCAGCTGATATACGTGAAGGATTTGGTAATGCTGTAAATGTATTGACGCGAGGATTTCAAATGGTAGCAGAAGATTTGTGTGGTGCTACTGCATTACCATCAGAAGTTGAAATTGGATATAAAGGTCCAGTTGGAATGGTTGGTGATGTGTTACGTCAAATACCACCAACTATGGTCACACCCATAGTGGCTAGCTGTGAAGTAAGCACAATGAATTGAATTATTTTTCTCTTCCCTCTTTGAGCTTTATACTACTGTTTGTATGATTCGCTGAAATGTTCATTGCTGGATGCGCAGTCGTTCTTCCAAACACATAACCAGTAATAACAACCATGTGACATGTTTGCAAGATTTTTTCTAAGTATGACCTTTTCATTAGCCCTTTTCAAATTACCCTTTTGATATACTATCATCGACGCACCCCCCCACCCAATCCCTTCCAGATTTCTTTTTCAGAAAAGTTGAAATGGTTGGTCAATCAGACGAGCCCACGCTACTAGTTGAAAGTATGGCTTCACTTTCTGAAAGATATGTACCCGTTTTCGAGAGAGCGATGGATTCATGCTCGAGTCGCTTAGTCAGTAAAGGGCTTCCTGGTCACTCGGTTTTCTTTACTCAAACAGCTGGTCGGGCTCATATTAGAAAACTTTTATATGAGTATCTGACCGTACGACCGCACAACATAAGCTATAAATTAAATTAGTTATTTATCCAGATGATCAACTGTATCGTAGTGAAAAAGACTTCTTTCCTCAGGATGATAAGAGTATCGAATAGAGCTAGAACCTGGCAGGCTGAAAATTACTTCTGATCTTCTGGTTACCACCTGTGCAACAATTTTATTATGTAATGAGAATCGTTAAGTTCTGTAATCTGTTACCATAAATCTTATCACTAAATATTTTCTGTCCATATAATTGTTTGTCATTCAAATATTGTAACAAAATTTTCATTATCGTTTTTTCTTATCATCAATCTTTACAGGTAACAGCAAATATTCTCGGGGGTTTACGTAACCAACTTAGACCTGAAGCTAAAGTTGAGGATGAACAAAAGTGGAAGAATACTTACGGCTTATAATAAAAAAATGTAATAAATGATAAAAGATAGATTTTATTCCGCTTGCACATAAACACATCAAAAAGTGTATAAATTATGAAAAATGAGAACTTTTTAATTTTGAAACACTTAATTATTTGCTTTTCTCCTGTTACTGTTCACTTTTAAACCATTTTTTTCGCACATTAACTAACTTCAGATAAATATTCATTTAACTAATGTCTTTCGTTATTTTCTCATTTATCTTTAATGCTCAGCCAATTATTTATGAGAGTACATTGGATGTAAATTTTGTGATTTTTGCGAACTTGAATAAAACCTTTTTTTTCTATTTCCCGCTCTCCTTTATTATGTTCACTCTGCAATGTTGTTGCCGCTGTTATTCTTGTTATTAATTCCATTCAGTTTCACTTCTATTTTCTATTCTTCAGCTTATTTTGCTTTTCCCTTAAATTATACTTTCAATGACGTGGCTTATTTTTATTTATTCATCCAAGAATAAAAACAAAGGCCAGATTGAGTATCTAGTGGGTTGTGTACAATTATCAAGCTTGTTAATAATAATGAACAACAGTTTTCTTACTGTGCATAAATTTTCTAGATACTTCAGATTTTTTATGTATTTATTTATCGACTGAGGAATAGTGTTATTGTAGGTCAATGACTTCGACTTAACAGAAAAAACGAAACATGATATTAAGTTGTATACACTAAATGACTTAGGTATCTCATAGGATTCAGTCAGTAAATAACAACGTAGAACTTCGTACGTACATCAGTTCGAGTTGCCATACCACATTAGCACAGAGGATTACTGGGATTATTATCTAGTATACTAATTCATAAGAGTTTGTGGTTGGGAAATCTTCGATGATCGCACTCTGTACCACTGTTGCAGTAGCACAATTAAAGACTTCGAAATTATTTTATTATTTATTTGGACACATGAATATTGGTACAAGAGAGCGCCAATATATATGCGCCACACAAAACAATGAAAATTCGAGAGGAATAAGAAAGAAAAAAAAAGCTAAGGAGCGCCAAAAAAAAGAGAGAACAATAACGAAGAGATTGGTGTAAGGTAGTGTGGTAGTAATCAGGGAACGCAAAGGTACAATCAGAAGAAATCTTTCAGGTAAGGAGACACAACCACTTTTTATGAAGAAAGTAAAAGAAGGTTACAGCAGGATCGCCACTGGCTTCTATTCTGAGCCATATCTGATAACGTCTCTAGCCACTGTGTAGCACCATCTCTCGGACCCCAACCAGGGAGTCGTGAAGGACCAACACAAGCCAGTCCTTTGCAGCTTTCTTTCATGCCACGACACCATGTCATGCACTGACCACCTCTCCGCTTCTTCCAACCAGTCCCAGAGTCGGCAAATAATGCACGACGTGGAATTCTCTGGGACGACATTCGGAGAACATGTCCAAGCCACCGAAGTCGGTGTTTCAAGATGGTGACACCAATTGAATTATCATCTCTGTGCCCGAACACACGATGCCGAACCTCTGCATTACTGACATGGTGTTGCCACTGAATGTCAGCAATCCTTCGGAGACAGCGATGATCGAACACAGAGAGTCGTCTAACGTCCTCAACTCGGAGAGGCCAGGTTTCACAAGCATAGAGCAAAACTGCTCTCACCGACGCGTTGTAGATCCGACCTTTTACAGCCAGACTAACATCACGAAGGCGCCAAAGGTGGCCCAGATTGGCATAAGCCGCTCTGGCTTTCACTATTCGTGCATTGATCTCATCACTCACACCCCCACCAGCACTTATGCAGCTACCCAGATACACGAACTTCTCAACTACGTCTATCTGCTCACCATCCAGGGTGAGTACAGGATTAGAATCCTGCCAGTCTTGTAGAAGTACTTTGCACTTCGAAGGTGCAAAGCACATACCATACCTACGGACACTGATTGCCAACTGATTAAGTGCGGATTGCATGCCTTGGGCATTATCGCACAGTAAGACAATATCGTCCGCATACTCAAGGTCGAGAAGTCTTTCTCCAGGCAACAGATCCACACCACCATTACTTACATTCATCAGAGCTGTTTCCAGAATGTCATCGATGGCAAAGTTGAAGAGGAATGGTGAGATTGGGCAACCCTGCCTAACCCCACTGCTCGAATGGAACAATGGAGAGAGGTGGTTGTATGCCCTCACTCTGCCTGAGGTGTTTTTATATAGGGCTTTTAGGATGTTAATAAACTTCTCAGGCACACCCTTCTTCAATAGACAATCCCAGAGAACAGTCCTGTCCAACGAATCGAAGGCAGCCCTGATGTCAAGAAACACTACGATTGTTGGCCTTTGAAAGTATGGCGGTGTTCTAACATTTGGCGGAGGGTGAAGATATGATCAATACATCCTCGACCAGAACGAAACCCAGCCTGCTCCTCGCGAGTCAATCTTTCTCGGGTTTTGAACAACCTACGAAGAATGACGGAAGCCAATAGCTTGGACGCAATCGGAAGTAAACTTATCCCCCGATAGTTGTTACAGGAACGACGTGAACCCTTTTTAAAGATAGGGACAACTATCGACTCATTCCATGACGTTGGTACACTCTCTAGTTCCCAAACCTTTGTAAACAACGTCGTCAATTCCTTAGTCAAAAAGTCACCACCATCTTTAAAAAGAGCCGGAGGTAAGTCATCTGGGCCAGGTGATTTGTAACGCTTCAAGAGTTGGAGTTCCTTGCGGACTTCCTCCTCATTTGGTGGATCAGTCGTCACCGGCCATGGAGGGCAGGACAGTCTGACCGATGTTGCCGGAGCAGCAGGCCAGTTGAACTGCCCTTCGAAAAATTCTGCCCATCGTCCAAGACGTCGATGGATGTTAGTGATTGGCATCCCATCATCCTCGCAGATTGTTTCACTCACACCAGACTTCTTGCTGCCAGTGGCTCGGATGAGCTGGAAGAGCTTCCGGTAGTTACCAGATGCAGCTGCTGCTTCCAGCTCATTAGCACGCATCGACCACCAGGCTTCTCGGTCCTTACGCAAGCTTTGCCCAATTTCCTTACGTAACATCCTTCGTTTATGGTCAAACTCACGGTCACCCGGAGTAGACCGACGGGCTTCAATGAGTTGTAAGGAACCAGAAGAAACCCAGTGCTTAAAGCGGGACGTTTCGCAAACCCACAACTGACTGTTCCCGCCATTTTCATGGCGTCATGCAATTGCAACCAATGCTCATCTATACTTTTCGGTGGAGTGGTAGCTAGCCTAGAGGCTAGCTCGGTTCGATACTTACTTGCAACAGAAGTTGCAACCAGCTTGCTAACATCAATCCGTTGATGGCGTCACTTCGTTGTCCACTGAAAAGTAAGGCAAGATTGGCGCAGACCAAGGCATGGTCAGAGTCCAGATAGGTACTCCAAAAGGAGCGGCAGTCTTGTACACAACCACGCCAGCGGTAGCTGATCGCGATGTGATCAATCTGAGTCCAGGCTTGAGATGCAGAGGGAGGACGCCAGGTGGCACATCGGCGATGACTGTGCCGAAAGTTAGTGCTAGCCAGAAACAGGTTGTGGTCTGTGCAAAGTTGCAGTAGACGGTCCCCGTTATCTGACCTGCGACCAACGAGTCCCCATCGGCCACCTAAACGACTCTCTTCTGTGCCTAGACGCCCGACCTGAGCATTCAAGTCTCCGGCTAGTACTACAATATCTGTCGAACGCACTTTCTGGAGAAGAACTGATAACTGGTGGTAAAACTCATCCTTGATTGCATCCGGGCTGCAATCTGTCGGGGCATAGGCGGAGATGACGAAAAGACATCGTTTCTCACGCCGATTTCTTCTCACTTTGATGGAACTTTCTAATCTAACAGCACATAACCGACTGTTAATGGGGATCCAATCGACTAGTGCTGCCTCAGCTCTAGCGCTTAGTGCGACACCAACGCCAGCAAGACCAGACGAAGATGCCACAGGGTCCCCGGATAAGCGCACGTAAAACAAGCTTTTCGAAGCGACAGATGGAGATCGAATTTGTAGTACTTCGCCAGAGTCTTGAATACGGGTCTCGGATAGACAACAACATCGATATTAAGACTTTCCAAAGACATAGCCAGCCCTATCTGTTGTCCGACCTGCATAAATGTGCGAACGTTGAAGGCAGCCAGTTTGAATGGTGCACGTGGTTTCAGAAAACTGCTTCAGTCCTCGTATTCGGTGGTAACATACAATTTTCAACCGGACAGTGACTCGAGAACGTTTAGATACAGTCGGATTTCCACCAAAGACGAGCCGCTGTATAAGTATAAAAGAGGGTGAATAATGTGGAAAATAATAATAATAATAATAATAATAATAATAATAATAATGACAATAATATAATAATAGTATTAATAATGACAATAATTGTAATGATAATAATTGAATCAATTGTTTTTTCAAAGCGAAAAAGTAATTTCCATAGACATAAAGAGTTCATCATTTGTGTGTGGGCTGTGATACTGCCCGGGTGCCCAAACCGAAGCAGGTGGTTATCTTAGGGGGCCACTCCCCGAGCCTTTGACCTAAAGGTCTAACCCACAAGGCAGTGGAGCATCGTAAGGAGATGCAGTCCCATGGTAGCCGGTGACCAACGATTGGTTCATACGCCATTTGTTCCCGCAGGATACTGGAGCCCATGTGCACCATTGTTTGGAATCCGGTTAAAGCGCCGGACATTCGCTTTTCGTCCTCTCATTTTCGTAAACAACACCCCCGCCACGAGAAGGCAATGAGTAGGACTTCCCTGGCAGAGGCTGTATACGCGTGGCCGTGTGAGAGTATTTCGAGAGGGAGAGCGGACTCTCCCCACTCTCGGCCGTACCAGGGCATTCGGGCTTCGAAATAACGAAAGAAAACCATTGAATCATTCAACAAAATCGTAACTTTTCGGTGAAGAAAACTATTTTGGATGATCATTTACCAAAGCTGTACAATAATATTTATAGTTATTTTTTACATGCGGAATGGACTCCTGTTCGTCCATATTTTCATTTTCCTTATAATCTTCTGGTGGATAATATTTCACATCTCGTTTCTATATGTTATCTCATCATTAATACCATCTGACTGATACGTAGCTTAGGATTCTGACCGACTTTTAGTGGCTCTGTTAATGACACATTAAACTCTTTATTTATATTACACCCCACTATATATAAAAAAAGTGATTTTAAGTACTGTTGTATGACTCTGGTGAATGTGATATTCGAAAAAAAACTTTTCTTCGCTAAAACGTCTTCACTTCATGCATCGTTAACAAGTTCTTTTATGATAAATCATAATATCTACCTCTTAGACTTTACGGTTAGTTTGCATATGTTGACTGTTACTGTCCTACTGCAAATCCGACGTCTGGACCCCCTCCGAACTAGTTCAGTTTTAACAGCCCGGTAGTACCAATAGCTAGGCTTCTAGTAAACTATATAACTCAAAGCTGACCAAATAAACCTGGACATGGCAAATGAAATTTTTCAACTGCGGTTTTTAAATAAACTAGCTGACGGACGCAAAAAAGACGCAGTGTATTAAGAAACAGCCAAATGTGTCTTAACAAAAGACAGTAAATAACTGCAGCTGAATAAGTAAAACAAACAAAAAATAAGCCATATATATTCCAAGTAAAGGAATTTCACTGAAAGCAAACAGATGAAGCACAGCCGAAATTATAACCCATCTTGAAGAATTACATAATAAAATGTCAGGATATTTCATACAAATTTCATCTTAATAGATTACAATTTTAGTTGAACCAGTTCAACTCGAACAGCTTTTTGTATTCTTCCAAACCACCTGGTAATGAATATACACGACTTCCTTTAGCACTGTCAACAGGACTTGTGCCCATGCGTGTACACACCCATACTTCATTACATACAGCTTGAATTAAACGTTCGTCATGTGAAACAAGTACAACTCCACCGGGAAAATTAACCAAAGCATCAGATAAGCCTGCAATTGTTTCTACATCTAGATGATTTGTCGGTTCATCGAGAACAAGCATATTTGGACTAAAAATTGAAAGGACAGGAAATGAACTTTCTATGTAGGTCTGTAAATCTTTTTAAATAATAGGAAATGTACCAATATTCTACATAGCTAAATACAAGTGTACAAACAAGACCACGTTTACCGAGTTAATGGTTAAATGTACATGTAGGACAACCACATGATATCAATATATTCGTGATCGACAAACCTATCAGATTAGTCTAGCAAATGTACGTATCAGTCAAAGTTGCGATTTCGTCATTAGTTCAAACAACAGTTGGTTTTTGTTATTCCCCAGCTAGTTAGTTAAAGATCAGTGAGAAATAATTCATTTCACCGTTTTTAATTTTATTTGCATAGGACGTACTTCCTATAAAACATTACTGCTTCAAACTAGCCAATTTCATTAAGGCAAGCCGTATTAAATTATTATTATTATTATTAATTTGTCTATGCATTTTAATAGACTACAGTTACTGTTGGGTAGTATAAGAATTTTGTTTCTAACCATTATGTACACCTAATAGGATTCAAACAATACTACTATTATAGGTGTCATTACCAAGGTTTGATTTGATAATTTCGAATAAATTGAGCATTGGGTTGATTGTTATAAATAAAAATAATATATTTGTAATATCCCAATGAGTAGAAAATTGGATTTTTCTGACGTTTCGTGGCTTAGTGTAAGTCACTTCTTCAGAGAATAAAAAAAAAGAAGTGACTTACACTAAGCCACGAAACGTCAGAAAAATCCAATTTTCTACTCATTGGGATATTACAAATATATTATTTTTATTTATAATACTACTATTAGACTTGATACAATAGATGTTGTGCATCATTGTTAAATATGTTGGTTTGGGTGTGTTTATAACTTTGATCATCGATTTAAATTCATATCTAATAAGTCTTCCAACCACTACCAGTTGGATTGTTACGGTTGATAATGATAATAGCAGTAAACTTCTCACCTAAATTCAGAGTTCCATTACCTCCGATGGACAGATCATCTAATATTTTCTCAAACATTGTTCTTTATACATCGATTCACCTCTATTTGAGGCATTTTTTGACTTGTTTTACTGATTGTTCTCAGCCCTTGTGAACTTGAGAAATACGACAATTTGAAGTAAAGCACTTTTGTGCAAGATTTGGTGTTTTCCTATCTGTCTCTTTCCTAGGTACAAAACGCAGTGACCTGCTGTGTTACATTGTACAGTTGTAATACAATCACTGAAAATAAAGCTTAAGTAACTATCCATGTACTCACTAGAAATGACTAAAGAGAATGTTGCTACAGTTAATGTGATAGATACTAGTACTTGGTAAAAATTTCACATGAGCTGTATAAGAGTAGAATGACGAATAGAAAATATAAAAACTGTGTGGATCAGTTTAACATAGTACAATCGATTAATGAGTCATTATAATATAATTTAATGTGGTTACCAAAATAAGAATAAAAACTGTCATTAGTTGCCGTAAAACTTACTTGGACATACACATAGCAACAAATGCAACTCTTGATTTTTGTCCCCCTGACAAACTACCGATTGGTTGAAGAGCAAGCATTTCCGTTATATTGAAATTCGCCAACTGGGAACGATAAACTTGTTCAGTCTGATTTGGGAACTTTCTCATCAAAAATTCTAAACTGCTTAATTTTAAATCCAGCTGGTCAACATGATGTTGGCTAAAGTAGCCAATACGTAAACTACGATGTGCGTGGCGTAATCCTGAAGTTGGTTCTAAATCACCTAAAAGAAGCCGAAGTAATGTCGTTTTACCTGCACCGTTCTCACCAACCTGAGTAAGAAAACAGTTGACAAAGATCAATAAGAATAATTCACTAAATGAACTAACGATAAAAAGTGAAGTAGAATAAAATCTAAGAAATCCATTAGTAACCCAAAAAAAAAGTCCTGGAAGATGAAAATAAGTTAAGTCTGTGTCGTTTAGGAATGAAATTAAAACCCACAATACTAGTTAATATTTGTTCATTGAATTCCAACAAGTGGTCTGCACTCACTTTGTCATTAACTTTTAATAGTCAAAAAGTTCATTTATTTGAGCAGTTGGGTGAGTACTTGCAGTAGCAGGTCAGATAAAAATCAATCTACGTACAGTGAAAGCCAAAGTGGATTTAGCTAATCTGGGTTATCTTTGGAACCACCATCATGTTAGTTCGGTCGTAAAACCTCTGGTGTAAAAGGCATCGGTGAGGGCAGTTTTTTGTATGTCTGCAAAACCTAGTCTCTGCAAATCGAGAATGCTGGGCGACTTTGTGTTAGAACATTGTTGTCTTCGAAGGATTGCTGACATTTAGTGGTAACGCTATGTTAGTAATGAGGAGGTTCGGCAATGTGTTAGGGCACGGTGACGATAAATCGACTGGAAGCACAATCTTGAAACACCATCCTCGGCAGCTCGAACATGTATCACGAATGTCATCCCAGCAGCTTTCGCGTCGTGCGTTATTTACCAACTATGAGGCTGATTGGAAAAAGTGGAGAGATGGTCGGTTTATAGCATAGTGCTGTGGTATTAAAGAAAGCTTTAAAGGACAGGCATCTGTCAGTCCATGAAGACTCTCTTTGAGATTCTAGAGATGGTGTAACCCAATGATTTCAGACGTTATCAGACATGCCTCGGCCTACAATAGAAGCCAGTGGCAATCCTGATTTAGCTTTCTGTTATATTCTGCATAAACGTTAGACAAACTTTCTTAACTGAAGGAATTCTTTAATTGCTATCTGTTTAACAGAACCGTCTTATCATATACTACCCTTGTTCATTTATAAATTGATTTTAATGGGATTTTCTCCTTTATTTCTTCATTATATTATCATTTCTTTTATGTGGTACATTTTTGGAACTATACTACACCAGAATTTATGCACTTCAAATAAATAAATACATTTAACCACAAGCTTTCAGGTTTAAGCCCCGCTTTACCTTGTTTAGTGATTTCATGCAACCAGATGAAATCAATAATCCTTACATTTAAAGTACACCTCAAAACAGAGTATATATAAAGTAAACTGGATAAATGAATTATATTCATTAATTGGAAAACTTATTAGGAAATTTATAAATTAACGAACTGACACTCAAAAGATAATATTTACAGTTTTTAATCAACGAAGCTCGATGTGACTTACCTGACATGAAAAGTGAATATTTTAAACTATGGACATAGTCGCATTTTTGATATTGTTGATTGTTTGTAATTAGTATATTTATGTAAGCTATTTACTATCACTTGATTACCAGTTCCATGAAATTAGTAACCTTTATATATATATATATATATATATATATATATATATATATATATATATATATATATATATATATATATCATTTTTATTTAACCTAATAATTGTACAGTTTAATAACTTACAATGCTGATTCGTGAATCTGGTGAAATGCTCAAATTGACATGATTTAAAATTGGTTTGTCCAGTACATAATGAAAACAGACTTCATCAAGTTGTAACAATGGAGGAGAAAGTTTCTCACAATCAGGCAGTCGAATCACAACTTTCAATTCTTTTTCAGGAGGAATTAATGGTGGCAACTTTTCTAAATGCTTAATTCTACTTTGTACGAGGGATGCACGTTTTGCATTGTAACGAAATTTATCTATAAATTGCTAAGAATATAAATAATTATAATTACAATATAAGTGAATATCATTTGTCAAATGAAACAGGATTTATCAGCTAAATAATCAATCAACAAATAATTTTATTAACGCTCTCTAACCAAAGCATACTTTAGACTGAAATATTTTTAGATTACAGTCAAGCAGCATACGCAACTATAACCTCAGTGGGAATTACATTATGAAGATTTTAATTAACTACATACAACTAAACGTAACGAACGAAATTGAACATTAATAACTAAACTAAATAGTGCTTTGAACCTCAGTATAGCTGCTATTCTGACATGGTGGTCGGCTTTGTCTATAGTGATGACTCAACCGAGCTATATTGGCTGGAACACATGATCCTTTAGGTCCTATCATGCCAGACGGGTCGATTAGAGAACTGTAAGACTAAAAGCAGCAATCTAAGGTCAGAAGTACTGTTGACTGTAGAGTGACGTAACAGTTGACAATCGAATCCATCTCCTCTTAATAACCCCCCTATCCCCACAACTAACCCTTTTCACTTATATCAATGTGACCTTCCAGTACATATATGGTTGTAATCAGCCTATGAAAAACCACGGAATATAATGAATTCATATTATTCTGACTCAATTATTGTTCTAACCTTTTAATTTGCCTTTGCTAATAATTTGAGTTCACGAAATGTTACTCCCTGTCTCCTGAAAACTACATGTTGGAACTTTTGAGGTTTGAACATTGTCAGGTAGGATAACAATCTTCTTTAAATAGAACTCTAAATAGTCGCTTGTGTTGTTCGAATAAACGGACAGAAAAACCCGAAAAGATAGGAACACGCCACGTTGCCTTTTTGTGATCTCTCCCTACGCTCCCACAGATTGTAACACGGAAGTTAAAGATGAGTTTCATAGGAAGCTATCTAGCCTCCTTCGAAAAGCTAAACGCTCTGACGTAGTGACAGTGCTACGTGGTTTTAATGAGCAAGTAGGTAAACTAAACCAAAACGAAAGGCCCTTAGGAGGATATCTTATGGTGTTGCGGCTCAGCGAACACATAATCGTGACCGTCTGTTTCAACTATCCTCAGATAACCATCTATTTCTGGCAAATACCAACTTTAAAAACACAAGGAGAGACATAGTTTGATATGGTGACCACAGTTGACACATAAATGTGTTAGGCATGCTGAGGAATATACTAATCATTATCATGTTAAGTCTAATGATGTCCTTGGACTCTAAATGGGCATTCCCTATTGGCCATTATTTATTTCACTCGTTAAATATTGTACAGATGTTGTTTTCTATTTTTATGGTACGATGTGGTCTGTTTGGTTGGTATATAAACAGAGTATGTTTGAAATATAACGATTCATAACTCAGAGGCTGTGACTTGCGTTCTAGACTCAACCGGCTGGGCTAGACAAGGAAGCGGGACCAATCGGGAATCTAGGTCGTCCTTAAGTGTTTTACATGTCACTGAATTGATCGATATAAACGCTGCTTATAAAACCTGCAGTCCACCCGTTACAACAAAATGGACCCAAATAGATCCCATTGTCACTAGCCATCATCGGAGCGGCCCGATTGAAAACTGTCGCTCGTTCTAGAAAGGGAGCTAGCCAACAGCGAAAATGAAACCTACCCCGAAGTAGCTTGGTATGACATCCAAAAAGCCTACTAGTAACTGAAACCAAGAGGTTAGGAAAAACCAGTGGATTTCAGCAGCAGCGATAGGTAACAGTACACAAATGTTCATACTTATCAAGGAAACAGGTATTAAAAACCCAGCTGTTAATGAAACTATCTCGGAAAAAGACGGGACTACTACTCACTCACAATCAATGTAATTGAACCGATGGGCAAAACACCCTAGGAATAGTTCAACTGGCCTTCGGCCACACTTCAGTTATCTCCAAGCAATCCGAATGAGGAATTGAAGTAATCTAAAGCCAGGGAGGGCAGCGGGACCTGACAGATTAACCTCTGAGATTTTTAAGGGTGGTGGTCCAGTTTTAGCAGTTAAATTGTCTGAGATCTTAGCTAGGATCTGGGAACTGGACATAATCCCATCTGACTGGTTTCCATAGCTGATCGTTCCAGTCTATGAGGAATAATTAAAATCCTCTTGTGACAATCGAAGAGGAATCAGTTTAACTTATGTAGTGTTTAAAATATTGGCCTCAATAATACTTTCTCATATGTGAGCGAGGGAAATAATGATTGGTATTAGGAGAGTTATATATTTCTCTACTCTTATTATTATTGTGACTGTTGTCGGTTTTAGGAGTGGAAATATACTTACGTTCCAGTCAGGCTAGACACGTATTCTCGACCTGAGTTGTGTTGACGTCCTGTAGAATAACACTGGGAGAGTACCTAGTGTAGATATTCATCTAAGGTGAATTAAAGTCCAATTTGTGTAGATGGAGAAAACCGAGAGTTATAACACTTCGACGTACAACTAGAGCGCGTAAAGGGCAAATCCGAGAAAATCAGACTGCTTTCAGACCTGGACGCGGATGTACAGACCAAATATTCACTCTTCACCAAGTTCTGAAACATAAAGTGCTTTTTGACTCACGACAATAGTTGTCTTTCTTGCTCTTAAGGAGGCGTTCAACTCTCTTGATCGTGAAGTTCTGTAGCGGTGTGTTATTGAAAGGTGTACTAAAGAAGTTTATCAACCTTGTAGAGGCACTCTAATCGAACACTAACGGTCGAGTCAGAGCTTATAGTGAACTTTCATCGGAATTAATTACCTCAAGTGGTGTTTATCAGAGTTGACCACCTAACCCATTCTCGTTTAACTCTATCATAGACATGGTTTTAAATGTCACGCTTACATCATCTGACTGTCAGGTGTCGATCTTATATCAGAAGGTTTAGTTGTTGATGATATAGTTTTGTTTGGTGAAGACGCCGACAAAATAGTCTTTTGACAACCTTAATCAGCAATGTATGCATTTTTGGGATGTAGTTCTACCCCTCCAAATGTAAAATGCAACTTCAGGATTGAGTTGCCTCACTTGTCTTGGAAGTCCCTATCAGTACTGATGGTCTGATGTCTGACGAAATCTCAGCACGGATTCAGAGGGCTCGATTGGCTCTTGCCGACTTGCGTTACTTGTGGTGTAGGTGAGACATCCCTCCTCTAACCAAAATGAAAGTTCACAGTGCAGCAGTTCGCTCCATTCTACTTTATGGGTGTGAAACAAGGCCATTAAGAATAGAGGATGTTCGTAGGTTACCAGTATTCCATCATTTATTTGTTTGCTTAAACACATAAACGTTGGTACAAGGAGGTGCCAAATGTATTTGCGCCACACTCCATCATTCGATTTGTGTGAGAGTTGGAATACTGCCCGGACGTGTCTTTGAAGCATCGATCGTGTATTCTGGGATCATGAAGTGATAAATGTCTGGGTTAGGAATAGGATGCTAGGTAAGGATGGCAAATTGATCGAAGAGGTAGCAAATCTTCATCAACTGAGGTGCTTGAGACATATGTCAGTATGTCCAAGCACTGTCTAGCTTGACGCGCGATTGTGTGGTACAGGAGTAGGCTGGAAGAAAGCTAGGGGTGGCCAGACCAAAACATGGCATCAGTTCATGAAATTAATGACAGTTTGATTTGAACATGTTAATAAATGTAGACTACCTGGTTGAGATCGGCGTAACCTTGAATGACATGGCTCAAAATCGTTTGTAATGGGACAGATAAATTCGTTCTTCGTTTTCCCTCAAACTCTGGGATTCTAAATTCCTCATAACCTTTATTTTATTTCGCTAATTTATATTTTCTTCTCGAGTCATATCATCGATGCCTAATCTTTTCTATTACCACTGAAATTGTTACTGCTTCTGCCATTCTGAGATTTGACTTGACAATTTCATTTTTCTGTGCTAATGAAATATGGCAACTCGAACCTATATTCGTACGTATCAGGTTCTACGTTGCGATGATCATCCACAAATGAAGAATATCTTCCTCATCTTCTCACTTAGCCCTTGAAATTCCAGTGGAATCTTGAGTAGAATTATTTATTAGACTCACCAAAGAACATAGATCAGATTTACAGTTATTTGTATATAAGCATATTTACAGTATTTTTAGAAATAAGGTGGTAAAACGGTGTACTAAAACAAACGAAACAACCAAAGAGCTTTTTTAACTCGAACTGATATACAAACGCACATATTCTACGTTGTGACTGACTGGCTGACTAACTAAACTCATTTTACTGATTTATTGTAGTTTGGAGATTACCTCTCTTAATGAGATAAAGTAATGTGACATTACGGATTTACCAAATACATAGATATAAACTTGATTTCATATGTTACATTATAGACTACACAGTTCCGTATGAAAAACAAATGGGTAAACTTATTTTATTCGCTTAAAATATGTGAAATGGTAAGAAACAAACTATTTAGTAACATGAATACATTTTCGTTTAAATAATGAATTAACTCACTTGTATATGCTCTCTTTCAGCTTTCAATGACTCGTACTCCCTTTGTTGATTTAGCAATCTTTCAGAACGAGCTTGCTCAAAAGCATCATAATTCCCTCGGTATGCATCCAAACGCTTGCAATTCAAGTGAATAATATCAGTTGCAACTGTATTTAAAAAACTCCGATCGTGTGAGACAATCAAAAGGATGTTGGATGAGACTATAAACAATCAAGTGTAAGCAAAATGAAAGATACAGTGAAATTAAACATCTAAAAAAGCAAAACAGTCAATTCTAAACTTGCAGGTTACATTATAAAAGCCTAACCATGTACCTGTACTGCGTCACTGAGAATAGAAAATGTTCACATCAAACATGTTTGCCCCCAAATGCCCTGGTACGGCCGAGGGTAGGAAGAGTCAGCTCACCCTCTCGACATGCTCTCACATGACCACGCGTATACAGCCACTGTCAGGGAAGTCTTACTCACTGCCTTTTATTATTATTATTACTATTACTATTACTATTACTATTATTATTATTATTATTATTATTATTATTATTATTATTATTATTATTTAAACACATAAACGTCAGTACAAGGAAGCACCAAATATACATGCGCCACACAGATGATTCGACTTGTATGAAGGCTGTGATACTGCCCGGGTGCCCAAACGGAAGCAGGCGAGAAGCCTTCTCGCCGTGGGGGTGTTGCTCCACTGCCTTGTGGATTAGACCTATAGGTCGAATGCTCGAAGACTGGCCTCCTAAGAAAACCACCTACCTCGTTTTGGGTACCCGGGAAGTATTCCAGCCCTCACACAAATCATTCGATTTGTGTGGCGCATATATATATATATATATATATATATATATATATATATATAGGGCTTCCCTGTACCAATGTTTATGTTTTTAAATAAATAAAATAACCATCAAACATTTAGATACTGCAATGAAACAAACGGATAACTTAAAGAGTTTGATAAGATTAGGACAAAAAGTGATGAATAGTAAATAACAGGATAAACTATAGTGTTGAGGTTAATGTCCCCAAAACACAATAGAACAGTTGGAGATGAAGATAGTGCATGCACCTTGAAAAAAAACTGATATAACCCATTACTTATCAACTTCAGGACTTAATGGAAAAAACACTATCAGTCCATAAAATAATTGAGCGTTAGTAATAAAAGCAAAGCTGGGATATATACCTTCCAATCCAAGTTTATAATTAACATCAACACAAAGAGATTGACAAAATGAAAAAAAATCTTTTAATACAGCGATAAAGTGTGCAAATTATGAGATAATATTAGGCTTGAAATTTAGGAGATAAATAATGAATGCCTCTGTGTCTGTTGATGCATCAGGATACTCTTGACGCGACCCAAAGATTTTTCAATTCGGTGACTTCAGACTACATTAAACGGGTTAAATAGAATCCAGTGGAGATCCTCCCTAAATTTTCTATATGATTTCCCTATAAATAAAGATTCAACTCCCATAACTGAAAAAAAAAATAGTTCTCACATTTATTGAACTAAACTTTTTGAAACATTTTGTTGTTTTTTTTATAACACGAATCTCTGCCTATTTCTTTAAAACGGTCGTTTCACCTCGTATAGTCCATTACTTTATCCCCGATTGTACCGAACCAAAGTTCGAATAGAACAGATGCCATTAAATTTCGAACTTAGATTACGTCTCCCACATGCTGATGACAGTAAACATAATCTGCTCTGGCCCCCAAATGCCCTGGTATGGCCGACAGTGGGGTGGGCCTGCCCTCCCTGTAGAAATGCTCTCACACGGCCACGCGTATACAGCCTCTGCCCGGGGAAGTCCTACTCACTGCCTTCTCGTGGCGAGGGTGTTGTTTACAAAAATGAGAGGACGAAAAGCAAATGTCCGGCGCTTTAACCGGATCACAAACCAATGGTGCACATGGGCTCCAGTATCCTGAGGGAACAAATGGCGTATGAACCAATTCCTTGGTCACCGGCTACCATGGGACTGCATCTCCTCACGATGCTCCACTGCCTTGTGGGTCAGACCTTCAGGTCGAAGGCTCGGGGTGTGGCCCCTAAGATAACCACCTGCTTCGGCCTGAGCACCCGGGAAGTATCACAGCCAACACACAAATATGATGAAATGTCGATATTTATGGAAAATACATGTCTTGTTTCGATTAACAATCAAACGATTCACATTATTATTATTGGTAGTATTATTGTTTTTGTTATTATTTTTTACGTCATTTATTCACTTTTTTATTCCCACTTTATGTATCCTTATTTTTCGACTTATACAGCAGCTCGTCTATGGTGGAAATTCGACTCTATCTAAACGTTCTCGAGTCACTGTCCAGTTGAAAATTGTATGTTACCACCGAATACGAGGACTGAAGCAGTTTTTCTGAAACCACGTGCACCATTCAAACTGGCTGCCTTCAACGTTCGCACATTTATGCAGGTCGGACAACAGATAGGGCTGGCTATGTCTTTGGAAAGTCTTAATATTGATGTTTGTTGTCTATCCGAGACCCGTATTCAAGACTCTGGCGAAGTACTACAAATTCGATCTCCATCTGTCGCTTCGAAAAGCTTGTTTTACGTGCGCTTATCCGGGGACCCTGTGGCATCTTCGTCTGGTCTTGCTGGCGTTGGTGTCGCACTAAGCGCTAGAGCTGAGGCAGCACTAGTCGATTGGATCCCCATTAACAGTCGGTTATGTGCTGTTAGATTAGAAAGTTCCATCAAAGTGAGAAGAAATCGGCGTGAGAAACGATGTCTTTTCGTCATCTCCGCCTATGCCCCGACAGATTGCAGCCCGGATGCAATCAAGGATGAGTTTTACCACCAGTTATCTGTTCTTCTCCAGAAAGTGCGTTCGACAGATATTGTAGTACTAGCCGGAGACTTGAATGCTCAGGTCGGGCGTCTAGGCACAGAAGAGAGTCGTTTAGGTGGCCGATGGGGACTTGTTGGTCGCAGGTCAGATAACGGGGACCGTCTACTGCAACTCTGCACAGACCACAACCTGTTTCTGGCTAGCACTAACTTTCGGCACAGTCATCGCCGATGTGCCACCTGGCGTCCTCCCTCTGCATCTCAAGCCTGGACTCAGATTGATCACATCGCGATCAGCTACCGCTGGCGTGGTTGTGTACAAGACTGCCGCTCCTTTTGGAGTACCTATCTGGACTCTGACCATGCCTTGGTCTGCGCCAATCTTACCTTACTTTTCAGTGGCCAACGAAGTGACCACCACCAAAGGATTGATGTTAGCAAGCTGGTTGCAACTTCTGTTGCTAGTAAGTATCGAACCGGGCTAGCTGCTAGGCTAGCTACCATTCCACCGAAAAGTATAGATGAGCATTGGTTGCAATTGCATGACGCCATGAAAATGGCGGGTAAAGTCGGTTGTGGGTTTGCGAAACGTCCCGCTTTAAGCACTGGGTTTCTTCTGGTTCCTTACAACTCATTGAAGCCCGTCGGTCTACTCCGGGTGACCGTGAGTTTGACCATAAACGAAGGATGTTACGTAAGGAAATTGGGCAAAGCTTGCGTAAGGACCGAGAAGCCTGGTGGTCGAAGCGTGCTAATGAGCTGGAAGCAGCAGCTGCATCTGGTAACTACCGGAAGCTCTTCCAACTCATCCGAGCCACTGGCAGCAAGAAGTCTGGTGTGAGTGAAACAATCTGCGAGGATGATGGGATGCCAATCACTAACATCCATCGACGTCTTGGACGATGGGCAGAATTTTTCGAAGGGCAGTTCAACTGGCCTGCTGCTCCGGCAACATCGGTCAGACTGTCCTGCCCTCCATGGCCGGTGACGACTGATCCACCAAATGAGGAGGAAGTCCGCAAGGAACTCCAACTCTTGAAGCGTTACAAATCACCTGGCCCAGATGACTTACCTCCGGCTCTTTTTAAAGATGGTGGTGACTTTCTGACTAAGGAATTGACGACGTTGTTTACAAAGGTTTGGGAACTAGAGAGTGTACCAACGTCATGGAATGAGTCGATAGTTGTCCCTATCTTTAAAAAGGGTTCACGTCGTTCCTGTAACAACTATCGGGGGATAAGTCTACTTCCGATTGCGTCCAAGCTATTGGCTTCCGTCATACTTCGTAGGTTGTTCAAAACCCGAGAAAGATTGACTCGCGAGGAGCAGGCTGGGTTTCGTTCTGGTCGAGGATGTATTGATCATATCTTCACCCTCCGCCAAATGTTAGAACACCGTCATATTTATCAAAGGCCAACAATCGTAGTGTTTCTTGACATTAGGGCTGCCTTCGATTCGTTGGACAGGACTGTTCTCTGGGATTGAGAAGGGTGTGCCCAAGTCATGCAATCCGCACTTAATCAGTTGGCAATCAATGTCCGTAGGTATGGTATGTGCTTTGCACCTTCGAAGTGCAAAGTACTTCTACAAGACTGGCAGGATTCTAACCCTGTACTCACTCTGGGTGGTGAGCAGATAGAAGTAGTCGAGAAGTTCATGTGTCTAGGTAGCTGCATAAGTGCCAGTGGTGGCGTGAGTGATGAGATCAATGCAAGTATAGTGAAAGCCAGAGCGGCTTATGCCAATCTGGGTCACCTTTGGCGCCTTCGGGATGTCAGTTTGGCTGTAAAAGGTCAGATCTACAACGCGTCGGTGAAAGCAGTTTTGCTCTACGCTTGTGAAACCTGGCCTCTCCGAGTTGAGGATGTTAGACGACTCTCTGTGTTTGATCATCGTTGTCTCCGAAGGACTGCTGACATCCAGTGGCAACACCATATCAGTAATGCAGAGGTTTGGCATCATGTGTTCGGGCACAGAGACGACAATTCAATTAGTGTCACTATCTTGGAATACTGACTTCAGTGGCTTGGATAGGTACTAAGAATACATGCATATGGAGTTCCACATAGTGCATTATTTGCTAACGCTGGGACTGGTTGGAAAAAGCGGAGAGGTGGTCAGCGTATGACATGGTGTCGTGGTATGAAATAAAGCTGTAAAGGACTGGCTTCTGTTGGTCCTTCACAACTCCCTGGCTGGGGTCCGAGAGATAGCGCAACACAGTGGCTAGAGACGTTATCAGATATGGCTCAGAATAAAAGTCAGTGGCGATCCTGCTGTAACCTTCTTTTACTTTCTTCATAAAAAGTGGTTGTTCTTCCTTAACTGAAAGATTTCTTCTGATTGTACTTCTCCGTTTTCCCCATTATTACAATGATTATTATTACACTACTTCAAACTAATCTGTTCGTTATTGTTCTTTTTTTTACGCTCCTTACCTTCTTTTTTTTCTCTTCGAATTCTCATTGTTTTGTGTGGCGCATATATATTTGGTGCCCTCTTGTACCAATATTTATGTGTTCAAATAAATATAATAAATAAAATAAGAATCTGCTTTGAACAACCGATCAACTTGCAGTCCTATGATAAACTCACGTTGGGTAACAACTATCTGTAAATCAAGTAGCACTAGCTACATCTTCGATATTTGCGAAAAATCTTATGATATTCACAGTATAAGTTCCTTAATTACCTTTTATCCAATGGGTTACCAAGTAAGGTGGCTGGACGTTCGTAACATATCCCCCAACTAACGTCTACCTAATTAATTAGAAAAGGACGGCCAAACCGGAACGCGAAGTTATTAACTATTTGATTTAGTGATGTACAGAATGTACTGTATTTATCGGTTAGGAACCTTACGTGACACGACTTAAAACTTGTCGCTGTATAATAGATTCATTCATTATTTATCTTCCCCTAAATCTTGATTTTTAATATTATTTCATAATACGTTAAAGTAAACTTAAAAAGCAAACTAAATACTGAGAAACGTTACCTGCAAGTAGTCTTCTAACCAAATTATTGCGCGCATATCAAGCATATTGGTAGGTTCATCCAGCAAAAGTAGGTCTGGCTTCGCAAAAAGTGCTTGTGCTAAAGCTAAACGCATACGCCATCCACCAGAAAATTCTTTTGTGGGCTTACTCTATAAAATAAAATGAGAATGAACGAGTGAGATATCTTTACCATTAAACAAATATTATAAACATTTACCAAGTAATTTATATATTTCGACCACAACAAAAGCTTTTTGAACTGTGTTTTTGTGATATAACTCAACTTGGTCAACATAGTTCTCAGAACCCTAAACTGAATTATAATTGGTACTTAATTCAATACCGGAAAACCAGACAATTCCTAGACATTACTCAGGATGTACGGATCAGACCTTTATTTGTATCAAATCCTGAGATATGCTCATCTTAGTCTACAGGTCAGTTAGTCAGCTACAACGTAGGACCAGGCACATATATGCATCGATCCAAGTTGCCAAAAAATGGAAATCAGTTACCACGGCAAACTGATTTTTGAAATGTAGACTACAGATTATTCATAGATATGATAGCTAGTTATTATAACTGAGTATTAACACCATCAAATAATTATAATGGGTCTTAGAAATCATGTACAGGTTTATATATAGTGGATTATATTTTAATGTTTATTTTTCCGAATTTTAACCTACTTCTTATGTTGAAAAAAATTGATCCAAGCTTTTACTGTTCTTATCATAACTAGTACACCTGTTATTGTAATTTCGATTCGTAGTTTTTACGTATTACATTTAGTTACATATAATCTATTTCATTGTTATCATTAACTCAAACTGCCTCGATTAGTTCAATAGCTTTATATATCTATATGATATTACTGTATATTAAAGTAGAGCTTGATGAATATCTAACTGAAAACAATAATGTTCGCCTATATATCCTTTTGATGTAAAATTGAACAATGTGATATTAACTAACCTGCATTTCCGGACTGAAGCCAAGACCATGCAAAACGACCGCAGCTCGAGCTGGAGCCTTATCTGCTTCGATTGCATTTAAGCGAGAATAAATCTCTGCAACCCGAGATTCTATTGTACTTGTGCTACTAGATAAACCTTGATCCGTGCCAGAATTTTTTTTCATTTCAGCCCGAAGGCGAGCCAATTCGATAAGGAGGGTGTGTCTTTCTATATCGGCTTGAAGAACGCTTTCCAAAGCAGGCGTGGAATCACCAACAACTTCTTGTTCTACATGTAGTACGCGGACACCAGGTGGTAGGCGCAAATCTCCCCTGAATGTTTTTAGTCAGGAATGTGAAAATTTAACTATTAATTGCATTAAGTAGTTATTAAAACTATGGGGATTGTAAAAAGATAATATACATAGCAAATGACATATCACTTACCTCGGTGTTAGAATCCAAATCCATACGTAGCTGTAATTCTCTTAGTACAGGAGAGATGGTAAATATTTGTACTTTTATCAAAAACGATTATTCATCTACACAATTTCGCGGGCTTTCTTCCAAAGCACGAGATAACATTCACAAAATGAAGCTTATCACTCCTAATAAACTCTCAAATAGATACAGTCTATAAAAATCTATCTAAGCATTTTTACAGTAAGGTAAAAAAAACGCAATTAATATAAGCTGATAGGAAGTACTTAAAAGAATGAGCTTATGTCCTGCAACTGAATTTAGAAAGTTTCCCTAACAAACAGACCAGATCAAAGGTTGGGAACGAGAACTAAACACTTGTACACATCAAAAACATGATAAGAAAAACACTAATTTTGTTATCAATGAACACTGTCAATATATTCTAATTAATCTTTCATACATTGACAATTAACAAAAGAATCATACAAAAAATGTCATCACTAAAAATTGTCCAAATATTATATATGATCTGTGTTTTTTCAAGTGGAATAATGGTGTTTTGTAATTAGCCTCCCTAATGATACTATATATATATATATATATATATATATATATATATATATATATATATATATTGATAAGCGATTATTTCCTGAAACACAAACTACTATTCCTGGTAGACAACTAATAACTTTATTTTCCCTTTAATGTAGTCCCATCTAACTGGGGAGATAAAATGACTATTGACTAACAGTTTAATTAAATCAACCACAGAGATGACAGATGAACATGTCACGTACAAATACACTTAAGACACGCATAGACAGAGCGAGATAAAACAGACAAACAAATAAGTACATAACACTACCATAAGTGGATTTATATAAAGTAAATTACCAAGAAGTAAACTAAATAAGTAATTCTTAGAGAATCTGGAGTACCAGAATACATGTAAACAACCGTCAGTTGTGATAGTAATGAAATCAAAATAGTATATGCGCGCAGCACAAAACGCCATTTTTATCCAAAGAAAAATGGAATTGTTATTGATCTTTAGATAGATTCGAAACGGCACAAGGACTATTTGGAGATACGTAGGTTTGAGAATAACTTCGTCTCGAACCCTTCTGTACTCAGTGTCGGTCTCCTAACGCGGGTACAGAAAGAAGGTTGGTCATAGGGATAGCAACTCTAGCTGGAAAATCGCTAACCAGAGAAAACCAATAGGTCTGAAGACGAATTTTTTATCATAACAAAATAATCTTAGAAATAAAATATAATCAAAACAAGGATACGTAATGAGCATGAATCTATATCAAACAAATAGATAACAGAACAAAACATATGATCTAGGGAACTCGCAGAACAGAAACAATCTATCTATTCATCCTTCTATATTTCAAAACAGTATTTTCTTTTTTTAACAAAGTGACTCATCCCTCTCTAGTTTTACTCAGTATTAACATATCAGTCAGTCAGCTACAACGTAGACCAGGCACATATGTGCGTCGGTTCAAGTTGCCACACCTCAATAGCACGAGATGAACAATGGATTCATAGAAGTAGTTAATTGAGTGGTGGTAATATATAAAAGAAAGATTGCATATAAGGATACAGTACAGGAAGAAAGAATTGGTTCACAGAAAGAAAGATATGAAGTGATTTTAATCTCTTAGTTTAAGGGAGGACAGAGAGTGTATACACCGACGCCATTGTGATCGATTCTGAGCCATGTCACCAAGAGTCTCCAACCATTGATTACGATAGTTACGCGAACCCCAACCAAGTAGTCTGCATCTACCACCATGGCTCAGACCAGAAGTTAGTGACTTCAAGTACTGATGCCACGTTTTGGTTTGGCTACCCCTAACTTTCTTCAACCATCCCCAACACTAGTCAGCATTGTGCGTTGCGGTAATCGGTGTTCAGGCATACGTAACACGTGGCTCAACCATCTCAGTCGATGAAGATTCACAACCGCACCAACTAATTCACCATCATTCCCTAGTACCCTGAATCTAACCTCACTATTGCTTACCCGGTGATCCCAGCAGATGCGAGCAATATTTCTAAGACATCTGTGATCAAAACTAGTGGCTTACGAATATCTTCTACTCTTAATGAGCACGTTTCGCAACCGCGCAGTATACTCGTCCCTTAATTGATGGACCGATATCTCGCCTTCGCATAGGTGACGTAAGTTGGCAAAGCCAAACGAGCTTTTCGAATCCGTGCTGAGATTTCGTCAGACACCAACCCATTACGGCTGATCAGAAAGTAAGTCACTAAATTTAAATTGACCCCCCAACTTTTCTGATTACTACATGAACTGAAGTAAAATTGATGTCTTTATAATGACAACAATTCAACTTGATTAAACCTCTGATCATAATTTTACCAATACCACTGGAAACTAGATATGAAAAATACACAGTAATTTCACCATAAACTTTAACGTTGTGAATTGTTGAAATTCAAATCCAAAACACAACAAATAAACTACATTGGAAAAGTGAAGAAAAACTAACACCTACTTGGCTAACGATCGAAGCAAAGTTGTTTTACCGAAACCATTTCGTCCCACTAAACCATACCTCTTACCGTACGTGAGAGACAGATTGGCACCTTGTAAGAGAACTCTGAAAATAAATATGAAGGATATAATAATTTTCAAAAAGGCAGGAGGGATATAAAAAACAAGTAGTATGCATGATTATAAAAATCTAAGCTTGCATTTTTTTAAATGTATAGTATAAGTTACCGTGATCCAGGAACTGCTGCATCAAATAGTTGACTGTACTTTAGACATTTTATGATCTCATTTACCTACAGAAAAAAAGTCCCAAATTCAGGAGGAATTATAAATAACTCACCTACCACATACTGATCTATGTACTCAACTTTAAGTCACACCGTTTTTGGGGATAGTTGTTGTTAGCCGGTTGTCTAACTCGACGTAGATGATGCTGGGTACTAAGTGGTGACGCATAAGTTGAAAGCTGAGTGATTAAACGATCAGTATGTCATTCCATAGAGAAATTAAGTACGTTAACCAAAGCAGGAGAATTTTCGACTTGTATGTCGCAGCTAAACTGCGAATATTTATTTGTCAATCCCACCAAGATGACAATCATTCAGAAGAGAACCGTAAACTATTGGCTTGTTAGCTACAGCAAAATTATTTCATCCTATTGATCCCCTTGGCAGATTTGAACGATGTAGAGAACACTTATTGCCTAGTGTGCTAAAATACTCTGCTTTACTCTAAACTATAGATTTTTGTCAATATAGCCAGAAAAATTGAGTCATGTTTGAGTTAGCTTTGAGGGGATTGGATCAGAAAATACATGGAGTATTAACCCATAAAATCCTTTAACTAACGAAAATGTGGTTCTTTTATAAAGTATTGTACGCCGGAAATATTTATAGATGACTTATCTAACATGATTGAATAGAAAGTCTCTATCTCCCTATAGGGTTTAGACCAATAATTAATGGCTTCAGTGACTGATATTATGACTCAGCTCAGTTCTCTCAACTTGCCTCTACGGCAATCAGTATGGTACACCAAACGGTCGTATAAAAACGTTCGCTAAGAGTTTTCTCCAGTGAATGGCCATCCCCTGAAGTTAAAGAGTTGGAATACATTCATTTTCTGTTTGCATACCTGACTCAATGAAGGTTTTAGACTTTTTACAACCCAGAAACAATAAACTAAATGAATGTGTTTCGAATAGTCTATGTATCACAGAATAAATGGAATCCACTAAATGTTGGTAAGCTTATAATGACATATCTACACCGTGACCACTATTGTCATTTAGAAAATCCACTGAAGTTTTGATATAAAAGTTAAAGTTAGAGAGTAATATAATAGTCCTTGTAGATGTTGGTTAAGGAAAAAATTTATCATTTACATTTTTGTGCAGTCTTAAAAATCGAATCAGTTATAAGCCGCGTGAGAAGCCAGTAATATCAAAAGTTAAGTCATATGATGGTCCGTGATGCATACAACAGAATCCAAGTATTAGAGTCAAGACATGAAGGTTCTTAACCGAGTATAAAAGATAATATGAAAGAAAATAGAATTAATTTACGTTGAAACGTTAAGGTTAATAAACGAAAAGTAATATGGAATAAAGTGACAATACGAGAATAAGTAAATAAGTAATATGAGCATTTACAGTTTCAGTACCAAGAAAGCGACACTAGGGTATGGTAGAACCACTGAATGAGTGATATTGATATTAAGTATGAATTCTCAGTCTGGAGTGTCGCACTAGCTGAATGAGTCAAAGCTCATTAGTAGTTGCAGTGATGGAGAAGCATTAGTTTCTCTTTTAATGTTAAATGTATTGTTTTATTGTTGGGTACGCGTAGTCTGCAAGTAGAGTGCACAAAGAATAAAATCAACCTTATTTTTGTTTATCGGTTTAAAGTGATTTTCCGCCAGTCAACTCCAACGCATTTCGGTGTGCAAACTACTTAATAATTTCTATTTATCAACTATTAGTAGTCCAGTTATAAGTCGTCGCCTAATTTTTCAGTATATTTTTCACCGAGATTTGTGTTCAGTCACAATTACTCAGCCCATAAATTATAATCACTTTGGCTAGTATATAACTGATCAACTTGAGAGTAGAAGATAATTCTTCCGAGGCCCTCGATGATGCATCTCCCTTAAAACTTCTTGTCTGTCCTTCCACAGCACATGGAGTCACTTCTGGAGTGCACTAATTGCTTGGTCTACTCAATTAGCACAGATCATGTTCTGTAATAAAATTCCGCGAGTTCATAATCGGAAATACAAAGAACAATATTGGTTTGCAAAACCTACTCTTAATTTCTTGTTTAACGCAACATTATTGATACTTCCTCATTAGTTTCATAATTCCACTAGTTCCCTAGTCCCTCTCTAGCTAATACATTTAGCTATATTGCTTTAAAGTGCAGCAACGGATGACTCCGGCTATATAACACATAGTTTTTGACCAGTTTGTTTGTGCACACTGGTGACTGAGTTGGCAGTTATTGGAAGGGTAAAGGAACACTTTGACAGTTTCAATATGATCGCAGTACTAGTTGTTCGTACTTATACTACTTCGTGAGTTTTTCATTGTGTTGATAAATATTAACGTTCAGTCCCAAGCTAAACAGATTATTTCAGTGAGTTTTCTATACATAAATATCAAGGTTTTATATTTTAAATTCTTTAAAAAATATACCTGCTACCATAAGCAATGTCAAAATTTTCCAAACGAATATCCCCTACGTGAGACACTACATGTGAAGATGAGGCTAGTTCCCGTCGGTCAGTCTGTTGACAAACTGTAGCGCGTTCATCCTCTTTGACCTCGATGGCTCTTCTAAGTGAAATTTAGTTACGAAGTATGACTAACCCTGCATTACCAGGTCTCCCGATAATGGCTTTCTTTAACTGCTTTTCTTTAATTTTAGCCTCAGCCTTTTCTAATTTTTTAGAATCGACGATAGTGCTGCTTTGTTTTTTCATCATCCAAATACTAGAATTATCAACCACTCTTTCACTGAATGTATCCAGTAAACTTGCCATCTGCACTGGAGCATCTAAAGTAATTTGTTTTTCAACAAATCCGTCAGACCTGTGGCATCAACGTTAAACTAAAACAACCTACGGCCTCATCAGTTGATAAATCTTTTTGCATAAGATTTTTATTTCTTGATCATTATTTTGACGGTGAAACCCATCCAAAACTCCACCGATTGCGTCATGCACATCGCCCTCAGAGTCAAAATGCTCAGCATTTTCAGTGAGAATACCTGAAATAAACATTCACAAAAGAAACGCTTTTTACTTTCTATGTAGCTAGAGATATCGTCATCCAAACTAGGAAATGTCTCTTTGAACAAAGTTACAGCTACTGATATCGCTCCAGATTCCATGGAGTAACGCACTAGACAAACGTTCCGCTGGATCACAGACTTTTCAGTTTCAGTTTCAGTTTGGGAAGGACAGGAGGCCCGATGGCCTGTGTTAGTCCTGGCAATGGTGGTCTCTCAGTTGATCCAACTTTCTTTTGAAAGAGTCGACGGATGGAGCCTCAACCACGTGCTGAGGTAGTGAATTCCACTCGTTGATGATTCGATGGGAAAGTCGGTAGTCAGCTGACAAGTAATTTGTTCTCGGCTTGTGAACTTTTTTGGAGTGTCCTCGTAAATTCTCTGTTTTGGAAGACAAGAAAAATGAGGGCATATCAGGTGCAAATTTGGCACTAAGCAATTTGAAAACTGTAATCAAGTCGCCCCTAGTTCTGCGATATGACAACGGGAAAAGGTTCAGCTTGGCCAGTCGAGCTTCATACGGAAGCTTCGCTACTCCGGGAATCAGCTTAGTTGCCGTTCTCTGAACCTTTTCCAGAAGCTCACTGTCTTTTTTTAAGCAGGGGCTAGCTGCTTGTATGCAGTACTCAAGTTTAGGACGTACGAACACTGTATACAAAGTCAAAAACGTTTTGCGTCGACATGACTAAAAGCCCTACGTATTGACCATAACGTTCTAAAACTTTGGCGGCTATTGCACGGAAGTGTGCAGTAGTCTTTAAGTCTTGACTAACGATAACTCCTAAGTCATTATATGTCTGGACGACAGGTAGCTCAGTGTTATTCATCGTGTATGTATCTGTGCCTTGATGACCGATATGCATCACAACACACTTGGAAGTATTTATCGGCAACTGCCATGTTTGAGACCATTCAGATAACTTCTTCAGGTCATTTTGAAGTTCTAAGCTATCACTCTTACATCGTATCGTTCTCCATATCTTGACATCGTCAGCATATAGCAAGACCGATGATGATAGGAGACAAGGAAGGTCATTTACATACAAGAGGAATAGCACTGGCCCCAAAACTGTACCCTGGGGCACTCCACTAAGCACAGTTTCCCAGCTAGATAACTTTGAGTTCACCCTTACTCTTTGTTGACGCCCAACTAAGAAGTCTTTTATCCACATCAATAAATTGCCTCCAATCCCGACATTTCTTAACTTATATAACAGCCGGTTGTGCGGAACTTTATCAAAAGCTTTACTGAAATCAATGAAGGCGACGTCTACAGGTAGCTTTTGGTCCTTAAGAGCGCACCAGCTTTCACGAGCCACTAATAAGTTAGTGAGACAAGAATAACCTATTCTGAAGCCGTGCTGCTTCTCCGAGAGGATCCGGTTTTTATCGAGATACTTAAACAGCTCCTTCCGAATAATCTTTTCTAAGATTTTAACAACCACACTAGTTAGGCTAACGGGGCGGTAGTTCTCAGGTTTGTGTTTCGTACCTGTTTTGAAGACAGGACTTACTATGGCGTTTTTCCAATCTTTCGGTAAGCGACCCTGCGTAACGGATAGGTTAAAGCATGTACTTAAAGGGCTTGCAACGAAGTTAGATAATTCCTTCAGTAGCCTAGGATGTAATTCATCGGGCCCCGTGGATTTACCTATGTCAAGCTTATTTAGCAGACCAAAGACATCGAGTTCTTTAATGGTCACGCTATCCAGTGTATGTATGGGGGGATCTGTATACGCTGACGAGAAGGGCGCTTCTATGGTATATACGTTGCTAAAGTAGTTCGAGAACGCTTGAGCCTTACCAAAGTCGTCCTCCACTAATGATGAAGCAGTACTGTCTCCCCATAGAGCAGGAATATTTCCTTTTCTCCTTGTCCTTTGGTTTATATAGGAATACAAGCGTTTAGGACATTCTATGGATTCCTTAACAAGTTTTTCTTCGTACAATTTTCTAGACTTACGGAGGGTCGAGGCACAAGTGTTCCGAGCCTTTCGATACTGAGATTTTGACTCATCAGTCCCCAGTAACCTAAATCTATCCCACATTTTCCTTTTCTTACGGAGAAGGATACGGACCTCCCTACTGAACCATGGTGGTGAGTTTTTCGGCCCCTTTGGTATAGTCCAAGGGATGTGAGGTGTGGTAACTTTTAAGTATGAATTTCGAAATGCGTCCCAGGCCGTTTCAATGGAGGACTCTGGGTCTATTGTCCAATCTATTAACGATGCTGAGTGCATGATGTCTGGTATGTTTGCTTTCCAGACGTTGGGTCTGGACTGGACTGACGCGTCCTCATGACTGGCAGTTATATGGAAGTCGAAAGTTAAAACTGCGTGGTCACTTTTACCTAAGGGTGGCATATGATGGAGGTTCGCAACATCATCCTCATAGTGAGTCAGTATAAGATCTAATAAGGATGATTCAGTGTCCGGATCGTACCTTGTCGCTTCTTTCACATGTTGCACTAGAGCACATGTGATAACCGCATCAACTAGTTCCTGCTCGAAAGAATTCTCCGACGATTTAGTTCGCAGATTTTCCCAGTCTACCATAGGTGCATTAAAGTCCCCTAGGATTAGACATCGACCACTTTGGGACCAAGTATTGAGACTGCTTAACAGGATCTCATTTGCCTCACAGCTTGGACTGCGATAGACCAAACCAATCAGCAGCTCTTGTCCCTTGCATTTTAAGCGAAGACTAACTAATTCACACGTCCCACTCTCATGGGATACACTATCGATAATGGCAAATGGGATAGCATTCCTAATGAATAGAGCTACTCCCCCTCCTTTGCGCTTTTGTGTTCTGTCGGCCCTTACTAACGTAAAGCCCTCGAAATCAAGTTCTATACTATCTATAGCCTGTGTCAGCCAGGTTTCTGTTACTGCGATTATATCTGGCTTTGTAGAGTCAATCTGTACACCTAGTTCCGATCGCTTATTAAGTAAGCTTCGTGCATTGGTGTAACAGATCCGAAGCCTGTTTAAGTGCCTTCGTGCTTCACCCAGAGTGGCTTCGGCATCATTCTCTGTCGAAGTCTTACAACCCGAAAATTTACAATTTTCAGGTCCTTTTCGCCAGCGTCTAACCTATGTTGTAGTTCTTTCTCGGCTTCCCGTCTTTTAACACGGTCTGCCAACGGTAGGTCCTTTCGGATAAAGACTCCTGAACCCTTTAATTTGTGTCCATTTTGTAAAATTAGGTCACGTTCGTTCGAAGAGCCGAATACTACTTTAAGCAGTCTGGAATGATTTGGTTTCGAGTCCGTTAGACTCCCTAGTCTGTACACCTTTAGCAAGGTGACCCCGGTCATATTTTGAGGCATGAGTTGATTAAGCAGCTGCCTAATCAGTACAATGTCATGCTCAAAACGAGCTTTAGGTTCAGAGCTCTCGCTCTCCTTGATTCTATGAAAAATAGCTGATCTGTCGCTATGATCAGCTTTCGATTTTTCAACTACTTTTACGGGGGCAGGGTTCCCTTTTATATCCCTACTTTTCTTCCTTACAACCTGTACCCATTCGTCAACGGTGCTGGTAGAAGCAATAACAGTTGCGTCAAACCTAGTGTTGGATTTCTGGGGGTTGTCGACGACCTGAGAGGTCGGGTTATGTTTACCGTTTGAAACCGATCGAGCCTTGCGATTGCGGCTTCAGGTGTTTCCTATGGGATCCCATCTGGGAGACGGGGAACAGAAGACCCTACTTTTCTTGAGCTTTTGTTTAAGGCAGGCCCTTTGGAGACTGCTTTTCCTTCTTTGACGGGCGTGAGTCATCTATCATCGGACTAACCTTAGTTTCCTTCACGTTGATTTGCGTGTCAACAGATCGAGTGCTGTTGACAAAGCCACACACAATCCTTCTTACTGAACCGTTTGAAAGCAGCAGGCGTTAAGTTCGTGCAAACTTCGTGGTACCAGCCTTTGCACTCGTCGCACCGCATGTCGCTTTCAACAGATAACGACAACTCGGACGTTAACAACTGCTTTTTTTACACTGTCCGGTCATTTAGGAGGGGTTCTTTTTCAAGATGCGATGATACTCAGAAACAAAAAAATAATCAATGACCAAAAAAGTGAAGAGCTTTAGATTGTGAGGACCAAAAGTACTAACAGATATAGTTAAAAAATGTACTCAAGGGTATCAACGACAAAACTAATTGAGAGAACAGTAAAAACTATACTCTAGTCGAATACTTTAACTGAAATAAATTCAGTTGAGGTGAAAACAGTAGTCTTGATACGTAATAAACGATCAAAACAAAGAAATTTTTCAGCGAGGAAAAATACCACTGTCCTTTTTAATAGTCCTTATCTTGAAACCTCAGCTTAAAAAAAATAAATAACTGACCTGAAATTTTCGTGACACGTTTTAAATAATATTTCTTATCTTCATTCGAAAGATTTAGTCTGGTGAGTGGGCGAAATAGCACCCAAATTATTCATCAAGCTAAGCGCATGCCTAACTTAGAGGGATAAATTGTGACGGATACAAAATGGTTACTCCCGACCGCTAAACCATGGGAATGATCCAAGTCATTTTTTCTTCCTCATGTTATAGTTGTTTTCTATTCGTGACTAACGACGGTGTTTATGTTTTAAGATTATATCTATTACCCAAGTGTTCACTGAAGATAGGTCAACATGTTTAAACGTTAGAATGAATAAGCATTGGGGTCATTGCATAGTGAATTATATCTCCTTCCGTCACTAACTAGCTGACTTTTGCCGACATTGATCTGAACACTACATACTTTACGCCCCACGATAGCAAACACATTGAATGAATCATGGATATTCATGGCTTAACAATGTCTTCTAAGAATTCCCTGCCAAAAATTCTATACCGATATTCATTGGCTTGCAAAAGTACTGAGGAAAGTGTTAAAACTTAAAAGGCGCTGCCGAGTGAGGTGCATCGAAGGAGACAATAATAGGTGTTTTCGAGTAGCGATATGCGAGCATAACTGATTGTAGAATGCTTGGTAGTTTCGGTTGGGGTCTCTACAGGTCAGAATAATTGGCAAGGATCGCTTTGATGCACGAATCAGCCGCATAACCGGTTTCAGAATGATTTCCTTATATGTAAAGGATGATA